TTTTGCCCATTACGTTTCGGGTATCTGTATGAAAAATATTGAGCTACTATTACTATTACTACTGATGCTACGGCTACTACCATAACTATTACTATAAACTACTATAACTATTCAGCTACTATTGACAGCTACAATTGTTACTAATAGTACAAGTTTAACTCGATTATTATTTTGAATTGTTTGCTCTTATTTATTAACTTTATTATGGTACAAGGCGTATTACATTATTATTATTTTTTTGCAGTTTTGTGTTTATGTTTGTAGGTGTCGACGTAAGAATAATTCTTTTTCAATAAAATTTTATTTGTTGAAATATGTGACAAATTTTTCATCATCATTTGACTTTTATTTATTTACCATTATTAATTTTTTTTATTACGAGAACAAGAGTGAATTGCGTGGCCGGTTGAATTTGGTTTTTCAAGCTCTTTGAATAATTATAATATTTGGTCGAAGTAATTGATGTTTTTAAGAAGCCTTTAAGGAAACAGGGTTATAATTAAACAAAAAATAAAAATAATAATAATTATCAAATAAACTCTATTGATTGGAAAATATATTAATGTAATAAGAATCATTAAATACATTACATGTACTTAAGTGTTACCGAGTTGACGATGTGACACGAATCACGAAGCCAAGGTATTATAAAATCGAAAAGCGCATATAGAGTTACGCTCTGAAAGATGATCACGTTTTTCAAAATTATTTCGTGCGTGTCAAAGACTCGCTGCCTCTAAAAAGAAAGCCAAAAAAAATAACTTACGTTTGTTGCCAAATTCCATTTGAATTGCCTCCAGGAGAGTAGGGCAAAATTTGTTAAATTAGGAAAAAATCAATATTGGAGCATTATAATTGCATGCTTAAAAAAAAATTGTATAATGCAAAATTTCAGGGTATATGTAACATATAATGCACGCAAAACACAAAATATTTGTAACACAATAAATAACTATACTTACGTGTAAAAGCAAATAAATAATAATTTAACTAGCGGGATGAATCTAACAAAAAAGGGGTGATAGGAATAAAAAAAAGAGACATATACATTCATCATTCTATACACATATCTGCGGAACCACATCAGTATACTAAAACATAATCAAGCACATGTCGAAGCTGGGATGGAAGAATAAAGAACATCCGGTTTTAGTCGTATATCGTCGTGTATTTTTAGCAAGTAGTTTTTGACGAATTTTAGTCTTTATATTGAATGTAATGAGTAAATACAAATATATTATATATTATATTATATAAATATGAATATTATATATTATACGCGATCTTTCGGAGGATCGCCAGTTATTAATCTTATTCGAAACTATACATGCGGCGCGGCAAAAAAGAAGCGATGATTTATTTGCCTCGTTTTTTTTGCTCTCTCGTAGTAAAGAGAAATAAGTAAACAAAACAAAAAAGTTGATTCGACTCGCAGGTGGAAAAGTGCTTTAACGCTAGAGAAAACAATGAGAGAAGAAAAATAAAATAGTAATGATCCATATTTCACTATAAAGAAAAAAAAATCAACTTCATAATCCGTATATATCTATAACACACATATCTTCCTTAAAAAAAATATATGATAAACTATGCGAATGCGAAATTGAGTGAAAAGAAAAGCTAATCGAGCCGTCGCTTAGCGTAACTTCTACTGAGCTTACAGTAACTCATTCGATTTTTTCATAATCCAGATTCGTTTTCTTTTTTTACTTCGTAAGGCTTTTTTCTTTTTCCAGTTTAATCAATCGTAGAAAGAACGAAAAGAACCCAACAACAATGCGTGCAACCCCCCGCGCCCGCGCAAAAAACCTCTCCATACATGTAATAAAAATGATATAAAGTAATAACAAGCCTTGATCTTATAAATGTATGAGTTGATCTGAAAATCAACTTCACCCATTCTATCATCCACATATCTGTCAGTGAAAACACAAATATTGAAGTAAAAACTTAATAACGATGTGTTGATAAAAAAAAAAAAAAAATACAGTGCATAAATATCTCAAAATCTTATTGTGTATAAATGGAAAATTTCTTTTACCTCCAATGATTGTACTTTTACGCGCACCGAATAAAATAAAACTTCTTTCCTCGACCAATGGTCTATTTAATAAAAATAGTAAACTTATAAACGAGGTGGCATTATTGCAAACTATACCTGAACTAGACATTAATAATTGAAGAAGATTTGAGATGAAGCATTTGCATTTAATAAGAAAAAAATATTTATATACTTATAATGTAGGCACAACATCTATTATACTTTATAATTATCGAATTTGTCCGATAAATATTATTGCATTGCAAGAGCTGCGAAGCCCATTGATTCTACCCCCAATTGTGGGCCATTATTATGTGCGCCAAAATAAAAGACCAATTTTAACTTATTGCATCGAGCATCCAGATCTCGATGACAAAAAACCACAGAAAATAAAAGATAAAAGTTTACAACCAATTGTCGTTCATCACGCCCGATTCAACCCTGCATGATAAAATAATCATTGTTGAGATTAAAATAAAATAAAAGAATGTCTTTTTCGAGCTTCTTCCGATTCCGATCTTATTTATTTAATTATGAATAAAAAAGAGCGGACCTCGATTTTGTGATAATAATAAGAAAGGAAAAAAATGATGATGCGATGAAGGAAAAGAATTAAAAGTGAATGAGAAAAAGAGGAAATTATTAATTATAATGATGATACTAATGAGTGCAATTACGTAAAATACATAGGTATGAGTGAGTGTATAAAATAAAAGACTTGATTTGCCATTCTGATATTCTTTGTAAATTATCCTCAAGTAATGAAGTGGAATTGTGCGAAAGGCCGAATGATAATGGAGATGATTGTTATATGGAGTATTTATATTCAATTGCTATATCTTTTTATGTGTACTGAAAAATAAAAGACAGAAAGTTATCAATTAGTTGTTGTTTTAACGACGACGCATAATAGAGAGCATGTGATAGTGAGAGATTGATAGTTTGCGTGTATGAGAGAGAAAGAGAAATACAGGATTACATATTTTTTGTAATTATTTATATGTCTTATTTATAAATTGAATCATTTTCATTTTTGCGAGTGTAAAATGATCGTAGAAAAACAAAAATAAAAGAAAAAAATTGTGTATTGCAAGAAACGTGCAATGACGATACGTTCGCTGTAACGAACGTAAAAACTCTGTAAAACTTTTCCTCGCGCATGATCACGTATAAAACTATATAAGCATCGTATCAACTGAACCCAAAAAAACTTACTTGAAAGTAAATATTTTCAATCTGCTGAGCAATTTTTAATCGATCGATATATAGAACACAATAAGTGTACAATTGTATGTCTTATGTATGGAATTCGAATAACAATCGTAATAGTACATATGAAAAATAAAAAATTATATCGGGATTAGTTTTATGACTGCACGTGCAAAAAAAATGAAACTAAAAGAACAAAAAAAATGTTAAGATTATGATAAATCTTATAAATGTGTAAAAAAACACTCGACTATTTTTACATATCGATTTTCATAATAAGGGTATAAAATTATAATGCAAATACAAGAGTTACGAGCAATTATTCGCGCGTATCATCGCAAATTGAAGTTTCTTACTCGCATACCCGATATAAAGACAAAGTGTAAAATTGGCTAGATTATTCTATCAATTTTGATAATAATTAAGTAAAAATAACAACTTCAGTATCGACCTCAACTATAACTACATTCTACATCGGTGTACTCGATATATCTGTCGAATATAATAAACGTTTTGAATTTAAAGATTCACTCCGAGAGAACGAAATATGTAATAAATACAAAAAACGAAAATTATAAAGCAGGGTAATTTGAGACAAGTACGAAACAAATAAATGGAAACAATAAAAACAAACCAACGACATAAGAGGAAATTAAAAGGAAACAAGACCAAATGAACGAGACAAGAAAAACAGATGAAAAATTAAAGCGACAATCTATTCGTTACAATAAGAGTGGAGCATACGTGAAGAAAATCAAATCGATCCTTCACAGATTAAATATTGATATTAAATATTGATAATCGATCTTTATATCGTTATTGTACCTAACACGATTATTGTCATGATAAAATGGTATATACAAAGTTTGCGCATCAATGAAAAATCAAAGTATGCGAAAAATCTATTGAAGATATTTAACGCTCAAAACGCCTTAGAAAGCGAAGCTTTTTAGGACTAATGACGTAAAATTTCGAGAGACACAGAAAATACTAAGGGTTTAAAAAACTAAATATGAATATTCTTTCCCAATATTGATCGTGCGAGCGGAAAATAATATAATTGTTGGTGTTTTATTACTACGATTGATAATACGATTCTATTATCACGCAGAATATTTAAAAAAAATAAAAATAAAAACATTAATAGCAATATTTATTATAATTATTATTGTACAATATATTTGTTTTCTGAGTTATTAAAGTGTGTATATAGATAAATAATATATCAATTTTGGCTGACTTTTTATTCAAACCCAATTGATTTCCGTCCACTTTTTTAATCTAGCTTACGAAGTTAATAAGTTATTATACCACAAGCGAAGAACTATTGAAGCAATCATCTTCAGCCGAAAAATAAAAAGAATAGAGTTGCCTCTAATCGAAATTTGTTGATTTTCATTAGAGTAGTTTGACAGCTGTCAAATGGTTCTTTTGATCTGCAATTATAATTCGCTCGTGTCTGCCGTCATCTTTGGCCATGCTTCATTGATTCGCGTCGATCTGTTCGTTCTTCATGGTCGGTTTTAGCACGCGCGTATCGCTGAAAAAAATTGTTTTTTTTTCTGAACTGTCGCGAGCTCGATGTCACTTTGACGTTTTAAACTAAAGTTACTTGTAAATATCCCATTGTTACATTTTGTTCGCGCTTATCTTGTGGGATTAGGGCCAACTAAGATTTATATTAAAAAAAAAAGAAGAAGCTTAACAGAATTTCAAAGTCCTCTTACGAGAAAAATAATTTGCAATGACAATTTTTTTTTAAATTTGGCTTTCATTTATTCATAACGTCTTCATATTTAATAAATTATAATCTCTCGGTATATACAAAACAAACTTAAATGTAACTCTAAAAAGGCACTCAATATTAATTCATACATTTATACTATTTACAATTCGAAACACAACTGTAACACGCATAATCATTTCAATCCCATGATCGATTCTATGCTGAATGAGATGTTTAATTTTTTGCTATTTTGTGGTCTTTGACTAGGTCCCTGGAAGCAGTTTCGTTGTCTTTCGTAACTGTTGCCGCTAGCGTTGTCGAAATATTTCTGCGTAGATTTGACGATCGGAAAGCAGGAGAGCCAATTGGGGATCGCCGTGGCAGCGGGACAGAAGTTCGATAGATTCGTGATCGGTAACGGGGTACTGTTTGGCAAGCTTTGTCCGTCGTTGGACGATCGATGTTCTGAAAAAAAAAAAAACTTATGAAAAAAAATTCAAACACTCATTGTACGCTGATCGCTATAATTTACATACCCGAAACGCGCGTCAAACAAGCGAATCGCGTCGAGGACGCAGCCGCCGTTCCCACGAGCGAGCCGACGACTCCGAGCGATCCTCGGCTCTGCAGCTGAGCCCTGTGCCTCTGAAAGTTCCTCGATCTCCTCTGATAAGCGGCCACGGCTCTCTGCCTTCCGCCCTGGCTCTGATCGCTCATCCGCGCCTGGAACTCGAGCTGGTCGCGGGCCTGCTGCTGTCGGCGCAGTGCCACCTGGGCCGCCATCACTCGCTGACGCTCGACCACCAGGAGACAGCAGGCGCACTGGCAGTCCTTCCAGGCGCAGGAGCGCTTGTGGCCCTTCAAGCTCGACACGACCCCGTGATTTCGACAGCGAGCGCATTTCGGCGATCGCGCCCGGCCCGACGACGATGACAGGGAGGAGGAGGAAGGTGGCGACGGCGTCGATGGCGGAATTCGGAGCTTGGCCACGGGCGAGTACGAGCCTTCGGAGGACACTTGATCGGTAACGAATACAAACGATTTATTAGATAAATATATTGAATAACACTACACGCACACAGAGATTTTAATTTACAATTAAATCAGTACCGGAATCGTAATCTTCCATGATTGATGAAGGAAAAATCGTCGATAAAACTAGAGCTCGTGCGCGCCAGCGTCTGTCTCTCAAGGGTCCGAAGACAAAACTGAAGTTTTTCTCGAGATCGAGAACGAAGACGGTCGTCGCCAGCGAGAATCTAATTTTCGACTCTTCCGACGAGACAGCGGCACGCACGCCCCTCCTTTGCGCGCCGGCCGCGCGTCGTCATTGGCCTGATTGACGAAAGCGGCGGCGGACGCGCTCGTGGACGCCCACAATTTTCGACGCATCGGAGATCGTATCGAGTTTTTCTGCCGTGCTTTTGCCGCTGTACGATCGGCGAAAGGCATTGTTTCACGGTGAAATAAAATGGTACCTGCGTATATTTACATTCGCGCTTGAGGCGTGGACACTTGGGAGTCGAGTACAAGCTCGCCTTGACGATGTACATATTCCGTTTATAATGTTTCATGTTACGTAATTGATTCATATTTTCGTTCATTTTCATTTTCCATCAATTCTGATCATTGATCATTGATCATTTTTTAATTTTCATAAAATTACGAATATAATCTAAAATAGTTGCTTCTTTTTAAAAGTACCAAAGTATACTCTCAAAGCTCTCGTTGATGTTTTCAATCTCTCGCAAATCCATTTAATAGGGTTACAAGCAGCACACTTTTTTACAAAACGAGCGACACATTACAAGCTCATCGTGATTTTTTTCCGCTCTCCCGTGTACTTTGTACAGTGTAAAATATCCGACGATATATTTGTTGTTTTAGTAATTGACACGAGCGTGTTTATACTGTATCACCGCAACGCCGAGTAAAGTGCACGCTCGAGTATTATATGTTATTTTTTCTCCCCGACTCCTCTCCCGCGTCATACATATATATCTCGCGTCGTGTTTCGAAAAAAAAAAAAAAAGAAAAGCCTTAAGAAAAAAAATTTATTTACGAAAATGTGTTGTAGCGAGGGCGAGTGCGACAAGAAAAAATGGAAAAAATGCGTCTGGATAACCTTAGTAGTAATAGGAGTACTGGTAATAATTTCCTTCATATTTTAGTGGCTATTGGTGTAATATATATTCGCTGGTAAGTACAATCTCGTGATTATTCGTGCGTAGCTCGGACAGGCCCGAGTGACACTCGGGACGCGTCTCCGCGTGTCTCTCTCTCCGTAATATACACACACACACACTCACACGCAGGCTGTCAAAAAGAGCCTATAATACGCGTGTCTTTTCAAATGAACGTGATTTTAAATATACACACGCGAATGACTTGGACCGATGAAGATACTTGTTTGCCTCTCTCTGTGTCTTTTCTCTCTCTCCTTGTGTAGCGAGCTTCCAAGGAATTCGAAGTTTAAAAAAAAAATTTTTTTTTACCAATAATTAGTCGATACTTTTTTTCGGTCGTTTGTATTTAGTCAATTACTCGAGATTGTTTGCTTTCTCGCTAAATGAATTTTTTTAACCTTACTTCCTCTCGCGTGTCATGTTCGTCGAATGCAACTCGATTCGTCGTATGAATTACACGCGCGCGCGGAAAAACGTCGTAGTTTCGTGGTTTCGGGAATTCGATCGTCTTTTGTCGAACTTTTGCGTGTCTTGTGTGTGTGTGTGTGTTTACATTTTTGTAACCTTTTTTTCACGTGTCCTCCCACAAGTACAATGGTTAATTCAGATCAATTTTTGTAATTATGTCGAGTGAAACGAGAACATCGGGCGGCAAAGATCGGTATCGCGGCCTGAATTCGCTCGAGCTTTAGAGCTTTCTCCCCTCTTATCGACGCGTCTCAAAATTGTACTATGCCTCACTGCACGAGCTACTGCGGCTGGTATCTGAGCAAATTTTTTCTCGGCTTGACTGGCATGTTATTCTTTTACTTTGGCTACTTGAAGGAAACGTGAGTATTTGTTTTCCTCGAGCTCGTTGAAAATAAAAATATATATATAATATATATCGAACGAATCGCTCGCTCTATTCGCAGTGGCGGCTTTGGCAGCGGCTCGTCTTCGAAATCTTGTCCTTGTCCACCGAGCGCCAAGTGAGTATAATTTGATGATAAATAAAGCGTGGCGAAAATTCGAAACAAACGTAAAACGAATGTATTGACGTAGCGTGAACTCTTGTTGTCTAGCTCGACCAAGCCCGAGCCGTGCTTTTGCACGGGAAAGTGAGTATGATAATTTTTCTCAATTACGAGAGCTCGAAAAAGCGAAACGACGATTAACTTTGATTAATTAACGAACGCAGAGTGCTACCGGGAGGGAGCGCGAAAAGTGGCGGCGGCGGCGGCTGTCCCAGAGACAAATAGTCGTTCGATCGAGTGCAAGGATGATTCCACCACCGACTTTGACACGTGCGAAGGAGCCCCGGCCGCCGAGTTCACCCGTCAATGTCATTGTACCTCCGTCCAGTCGTTGAAGCAACGATCGTCTCGCTCCGTCTCGTCGTCGAATCGAGTCCGTCCGGCCAAGGATCGACGGAAAAAACGTCGCAGCGCCGTCTACAAAGGCCGGAGATGCGACGGCAAACCGATACCCCGTCGATTGTCGCTCGGCTCGACGAGTTTCGAGGAGAACACGCCGTCGTCCTCGAGCAGTTGCGAGGCTCTGGCGCCGCGGATCGGCGGCAATCGTTCACCGGTGCCGCTGTTGTCGGCGAGATCGAGACACTGCGGCGACTGCGGCGGCAGCGATCATTATCAGACGATCGAGCAGATGCAGTTGAACTTCGAGAAGACGCTCAGAGATTTGGACGCGTTGAATCGGTCGTTCACGGACGAGTGCAGAACCGAGGTAAGATCGAGTCGAGCATATCGTTCGAGAATTCGTTTGATGTTTTTTTTCTTCTCCGTCACTCAGAGCGATGGCAAACAACGTAAAAGAGACTGCGGCGACAGTTTCGACTCGTCCAAACGAGTGCGGCTGGCTACGCCAACGACAACAACAAAGATGGATCCTGGTCCAGCGCCCGACAAAACCATCGGTCACGATACAGACCAGTGCCACCGACTTCGACGGAACCAGCCCCAGAGCAATCAACACCGGTGCAATTTGCGAGAAAAAGTAAATCTTTGTGAAGAGCATCATCGTTGCTTTCGAAAAATACACGCCGCTCCCTCGTGACAATCCGAGTTTCCTTACTTTTTCTTTTCTCTGCAACATAACAAGAACCTTTTGTCGTTGTTGAAAATCGTAACGTACGTATCTCTAAACTGCAGGCCGCGAGATACGCACAGGCTAGAAATGAATTTCGACGGGTCTGCGGAGTTAACGAGCTGCTGCAAAAGGCCACGCCGCGGAGGAGAGAAAGAGAAGCAGCGAGTTAAAAGCGTTTTTGCGCGCGCGAGTCGACTCGCAAAAGTCACACAAAACTCAATTAATAATCCGAACTCGAGAGAGAGAGAGAGTCGGAAGTGTCAGAGAGTTAACGATTCACAAGCTGCGAGGAAAGAAAGAAAAAAAAATGAAACTCACGCGTGAAACATTATGTGCCTCTTTTCGTCGTCGTAATAGCAATCAATAATACTTATTGATTGAATAATTCACAAATTGAATGTCTTTTTTTTGCGTGCAAGCCATAGTCGTTTCAAAGAACTACGTGGGTGTTTATTTCCGATGGTACTCGCGTTCGGAAGAGAACCAACGAGTTGTGTTTGTCTTTTGCGACATTTAATTTTCTCTCTCTCTCTACTTACACGAAATTCCAAAAAAATCGAGTAAAGCAAGAGCATGTTATTGTTGCCTTTTCAAAGAAGAATAAGCCTAATTTCCTATTATATCGCTCTCTTCCCCGAGAGTATATTTGCATTGCCGAGCTATATACGAAATTGCTTTTTTACGCTCGTTGCCGCTGTTGCTGCCTGGCTGGGGTACGTATATGACGAAGTGTCACTTATAACGCACGAGAGGAGTTAAAAGTAAATGAACATTTATATACACGTGCCAAACAAGCCTCCGCAACTCTGTCATATTTCGCGTAGTGGCTCGAGCCAGCGAGAGAGAGAGAGAGATCTATTTCGAATGTTTCACACTGCTGCTGTGTTACACTCTTTGCGCGCGCGCATGGCAAAGTCAAAGCTGTCAGTCAAAAGGCGCGAGAGGCGCACAGACCACCGATCATTTTTCTTTCGAGGTTTCGATTGCGTACGCGACGCCCTTAACGCCAAAGCGCGTACACGTTGCTTTCATAAGTGAAACGTATACGAGCAGCGCGCGCGGGTGACAATCTTTTGGCGTTTCTAAGATAAATTGAGTATCGCGCTCGCGCAGAAACTTTAAGTGTGTTTTTCTTCGCTCTCGATTTTGGAATGCGCTAAGCTGTACTAAATTTGTGTCGTTTGAATAAATACTTGGCAATTCCTTTACGAAATTACATGATTTTTATTTTTCATTCATTAGAACCTATATTTACAAGCACATGCGGGGGGTGTATTCTTATAACTAAGTTAACAAATGTAAGATAGCAGTACAAGCATAAAAAATCAACAAGGTGTATAATCGTCGATAGGCAAAAATTTTCTCTGCTCGACGCAAGCGGCGATCCAGCTTTTTTTCACAATTCGCACGTCTTTGTTTGCGTACGCGTCTGGAATTACCCCGTCGTCGTCGTCGACGAAAACATACTGGACCCGATGCTCGTCGAAGCTCTTAGCCACCTGTCCACCCATAAATTCAAAGGAGTATCGCTCGCAGGCGTCCACATCGTCGAAGTAACCGACCAGGCCACGGAATACCGAGTAGGGCGATTTGTCGCTGCCGAACAATTCCTCGTCGAGTTGCTTCGCTTGCTCGTCCGTCAATTCGAGCTTGTCTCCCTGAAACATTTCTTGTTTTAAATTAAAAAAAGAAGATAAAGAAGAAAATAATCAAAAGTTTTGACAGTTATTTACGGAATCGTCGATATTTTTAAAGATGCGCTTCAGATCCACCTCGTCTTTGATATCTTGCGTGTAGCTGTCCTGATACTCGTCGTACGTCTCGTTGAATCTGGCTTTGGTAGTTTCTCGAGTGGCTAACATGTCCCAGGGGAGAAACTCTTGGAGTTTCCCGATATTTTCCGCTCGAGTCGCTCTCTTCAGCCAATCGACTTTGACGACGTCGTATTTCCCAGAAGCAATCAGAGTCTTTGCTTTATACTGTCAAGAAAAAGGGAAAAAAATAAGATACTCCACAAGGTAAGCTTTACGTTTTACGTAAAAGTTTATCAAGTCTCGGGGCCAGTGCCGACCAACCAACCGTTTCGGGATCGCCGACAACGCAACAGTAAGTGTCCCGGCCGGGATTCTGCACGACTCTGGCCATGTGCTCGGTGAGCACGAGCTCGATGTCGCGCTTGCTCAGCTCCGCGTCGCCGTTGATCACGCAGATCTCCCTGCCGTCGAAGAGACGCGACAGGCGCGTCACCTCGAACTCTCGCACGGTCGGCGCGAAGGCGTCGTACACAGCTGCGGCTTGGTACTTACGTATTTTCGGCTTGGCCTCTCGCTCCTCGTCCTCTTGGCCGTTGTCGACCTCGATGTCCTCGAGTTTGGCTTTCCTCTTCGTCAATTTCGACAGCGCCGTTTTGGAGCGCTCCTTCTCCGCCTTCTCCTCGGCTATGCGTTTGAGCTCGGCCGCGGAGCAGGCGTCGTACCAGGGCTTGTCGTGTCTCACCTTCATGACTCGCGGAAAGCGCAGGGTCAGGCCCAGAGGGAATCTCGTGGTCGGTTGCAGCTCCGAGGCTCTCAATTGCAAAATGATGGAGTTCTTCGGCGACACCCATTTGGCAATGGTATTGGCATTCTGCGCGCAATCAAAATTCGATTGCAATACCCCTTCCGAACTCGTAGAAATTTTTAATAATATACCTTCGCGGGGACGATCCCCGCGGGCCTTCGATCCTTCCAATGATCTCTCAGCTTCTCCTGCAGCGTCCTCAGATCCTCGTCGCTCAGGCCGGACGACACGCTGCCGACTTGATAAAATTCCGAGGGCGTGGCTGCTGCTTTGTCGCCACCGCTGCTGCTGCTGCTGCTCGGGGGTCCGGCCGCGCCAACGACGAACGAGCTGATGATACCACTGTGTCGACCTTGGCCGTACTCGCCGCCCAGAATTATCAAGTCCAAGTCTTGCACGAGTTTGTCGGAGTACTGGAAAAAGAAAAAATTGATGAATTTTTCCACCATTCGAGCCACCTTTGGATAGGACGGGCGGGGGGAAACTTACCTCGGCTTTGAGCTTGAAGCAGCCGCTTTTTTCGCGCACGTTCGGACTGTAACGAGCGTCGTGCCTCTTGATAACGATCCCCTCTTCGTCTCGATCCAACGCCTCGTTGAACAATCGGTGCAACTCTTGCCTACGAGAACAAAAAAAAAAACGTTATCGATCGAAGAGAAAAAAAATAATTAACCCCGAGAAACGAACGTACTCGTTGGTGACCGTGCTGGTCTCGCAATGCTGCATCACGCCCTCTCGATCGGTAAAGGCCTTCCTCAAGTACTCCAAACGCTCGGAGTACGGCTTGTTCATCAAGCTCGCGTCGTTGTACACGAGCAGGTCGTAAGCCACGAAGCAGGGCTGATGCTTGCTCGTCTCCAGCAGATTCTTCACGTCGAAGTTCTGTCCCTTGGTGCCGAATCTGCCTCGCTCCTTGTGCCAGCCCATCATCTCGCCGTCGAGTATGCAGGATCGGCAATCGGGCGCGAGCAGCTCCGCGATGTTTCGCGTCACGAAACCGCCGGCGGCGTCCTTGCTCTCGCCGTACATGGGCTTCTGCGTGATGTCGTAGCCCTGCCTCGTGAAGTACTTGAACCTGCCGTCGCGCACGTGTATCTGCGATCGTTCGCCGTCGAACTTGGTCTGGACGAAGTACTTGGCCGGCTGGTCCTTGAACAGTTTGCCGACGTGCTCCCACTTGAGACGCTCGAGGAGCATCGGCTTGACGTGGGCGAACAGCTCGACCTCGAGATTCTGACCGTCGTCGGAGTTCTGGCCCACCACCGAGTAGTGCTCGCAGACGCGCTTCAGACTCGACGTGACGTTGAACATCTTTTCCGCGTCCGGATGTAGCACTGTGGAAACATAATGGTAGAGGCGTCGGAGAGGGTTTAGCGAGAAAAAAGAGTAAGCGAGATCCGAAAGATAAATAGGAAGTTAATCGATCTGACGCGTGGGTGACATCTTTGGGGATATCGGATTACGCGACCACACACGCGCAGAGACTCGACAGAACGACTTTCGTGAATTACTCACGTTACACCCGTGATCAATTATGAAAACAGCTCGAGAGTTTCCTTACCTTCGAACACCCTTTTTTGCTGCAGATTCAGTCGCAAGTCTTTCAGCAGAATTCTCGTGAGCCACCTGAGATCGTCGGCGCTGACTTTGGTGCGACGGATAAAGTGATGGAACATCTCGTCCCTGCTTTTGTTGTTTTCCGAGCACTTGGCGAGCTCGTCCAAGAAATTATTGACAGCTTCGATGGTGAGCGAGTCGCTGGACACGGCTGGCAATCGGTTGCGTAAGATCGAGTGGACGCGATCGGCGAAATCGTCGTTTGTGCACTTGGACGTTTCCGGTTTTCTTCGAAGTAATAAATAAAATGTGTTCATCGTGTGGGAGCACGCGATTTTTTTTTCTGTTATCGATGAATTACCTGTAGTCCGTCAATATTCTGGCGTTAGGACTATCTTTTCCCAGACAAAAAACTCGGACGTACAGGAGGCTGAGACTTTTCGTTTTTAGACCGTAGGGTCCTCTGTCGCGCTCCAGAGTCGGCATTATCAGACGATAAACCGGAAATAGAGACGTATCCTATTTTCCACGCATTTTCACAAATAAATCAAAAACTTCATTGGACAAAACATTAATCATATGGGATATAACGATAAATCTCACCGCTTCAGGATGATCGGCTTTTATTTCGCTCGCGAGCTTTCGACACTTGTAGGTGAATTCCCTCAACTTGTCGTACTTTTCCGCGCTCTTGGCTTTGGAAATTCTATCGAACAAGCCGCACAGCCAATTGAACTTTATTTTTGAGCTCAACGACGAAGCCATGATCTGCGAATGAGAATTTGTACAAAATCAAATACTACAATTTTTTTCTATAATCGAAGCAGGTGTATTATTGAGTTTCTTCCTCTTTCTACAAACTACGCAGGACAAGGTTTTGACAATAAACAGTCACACATATACAATTTATATACAAAATTAACAAAATTCCGCCTTTATTTCTCCTCTAAATAGTAATGTAATCCTCCAAATACATCCGCGCCATTTCCGGATTGCCGGACTGCATGTAAATCAGATGAAGATTGAAGGCGGCCTCTTTTCGCAAATCGAGCAGATTCTCCCTGCTCTTTACGAGCTCGGAGGGTTCCTTGGTCAGCACCAGTTTGTAAAAGTGCATGGCGCTGGGCAGCAGTCCGAGCTGATGCATCACTCGTCCCATGTTGTAATTGGACTCTTGCTCGCACTCTTTGCCTCGCAGCTCCATGTACGTCTTCATGAAGCCCAATGCTGTAAAGGAAGAAAAAAAAACGAAATCAGTCGATTACAAACTAGTAGGATCGAGAAAAGATGCGATGAAAAGTAGTTTTACATTGAACGACGAGTTGATTCTTCTTGCCGGAAAATTTCTGACAGGCCATCTGCAGCAGAGTGACGGCGATCAGCAGGGCCAGCAGCGAGCTCGGATTGGTCTTGAACAGCGAGATGTAGTCGTTGAGGGCGTACTTGTAGGTGCCCGAGACGAGGCAATTGTTGGCGTGCAGTATGTGCAGATAGGAGAAGGCGTCCTCCTTGCCGAGCTGTCGCATCATGAATCGATTGTGCCGCGAGTCCTCGGCCTTCTGGATGATGATGTTGAGCAGGTTCCAGTGCTGGTTGCGATTGCGACTGCGCACGATCTCGCGCACCACGTTGAAGCCCGAGTACGAGTCGGCGTTCCTGATGCACGAGAGCAGCGCCAGATACATGAGATGGTCGTTCTCCGCCGAGAAGCGCTTCGAGGTGAGCGCCGTGAAGGTGACGCGCTGCAGTATGCCGTACTTGCCGAGCCTGCAGGCGGTCTTGCACAGCTGCATGACGAGGAGGAACTCCTCCTTCTCGCTGGGCTCGTTCACGTTGCAGAACTTGAGCTGCTCGGGCTCGTCGACGGGCTCGCCGCGCGACAGACGATCGCGCTGCAGTATCTCCACCCTGGCCTTGTGATTGGTGCTGCGCGCTATGGACGTGAGCTCCATCTTGGAGCGCACGGTCAGACTGTGCCTCGACAGCAGCAGCAGCGCGTCCCTGAAGTACTCGTCGTAGCGCTTGGCCTTGTACAGCAGCTTGACGCGCTCGTAGAGCACGCTCGCGTCCAGCTCCTCCTGGCTGTACGGGTCCTGCTCCAGCACCGCGATCGCGTTCTTGAACTGGCCCTTGGCCTTGTAGAGCTTGCTGAGCTCGATGCGCGCGCCCAGATGCTGGGGCCCGAGCTTGCGCACGATCTCGTACGACTTGATGGCCCGGTCGTTGTCGCCGCAGCCCACCCAGCACTCGGCGTGTCGCAGCCACACCGCCGCGAGACTGTACGTCTCGCTGTTCACCATGGGCTCGAGCAGTCGCAGAGCTCTCTCGAACTCGCCCTTGTCCATGAAGGCCTCCGCTATGTCCAAGTACTGGTCCCCGCACTCCTCTACGTTCTCTATCTCTCGGAATCTCGCGACCAATTCGTCGACTATTTCGCTTGCTCCCAGCTCTAACAGAGCTACGATACACTTGGTTTTCAAATCTACCGCCAAATCGTCCGGTATCATGCACAAAGTTATGTTAAATCTATTCGTTCCAGGAGCAACTTCTATGCTTCCGTATTCGACGGTGATGGGGGTGAATTCGACGAGAGTATCTAGGCAGCGACTGAAATTTTTCGTCAGCAGCAAAAGTTCAGCGAATAAGTTCAATTCTTCGTAAGTAACGAGCTCTGGACATTTTTTAAACATATGCTCCATAGCATTGAAAGCTATTTGATTCAAATTTTCCTTTATACTTTCATCGAAAAGCAGTTTAGCATACTTCTTCACTGTTGGGCCATCCTCTGGACCCAAGTAGTTGAGTAATTTGGAATATGCTTTGATTTTAGCCTTTTGATCGTTTAAGAATTCGGTCTGAAGCTGAGCACGAGTTTCGTATAATTCAATGTTTTTTGGATCATTTTCAATAGCTTTGGTATAACACATTATTGCCTGCTTTACATTCCCAAAATTTAATGAAGATTTTGCTAAATCCTCCCATAAATCATTTTTAGGATTCAAATGAGCAGCAATCAAAGAAAATTGTAAGGATTTTTCAGGTTCATTTTGTTCATAAATTTGTGCCAAGGTTTGGTACGGATTTGGAGCCTTTGGTACATTCCTGGAAATGGGTTAATGATAATCCATTAATAATTGAAATCTTTAGGCTCTTAAATCTTAAAATAAGAATATTGTACACACCTAATAACTTCCATACACATTTGAATAGCAGTTTGTATTTGACCTTTTGCAAAGCATTCATTGGCTTGTCCCATCAAACCATGATAGGGTTGAGGAAGGACCCTTCTTACATGTCTGCGTTTTATTACCGGTTTTACATCTTTTTTTTCTGAATTTTTTGATTCATTAATTTCAGTAGGTACACTCTCAACAGGTGCATTGCTGAAAAAAATCAAAATTTATTTAAAAACATCAAGATTATTTTATTATTTAAAAAAAAAAAAATTATTATACACTTACTAATCTATTTCTTCATCAGCTTGGGTATTTTGATCTATTTTTTCCGCTAAATCAGATAACGATAATTCACCATCTAAAAATTGTCTAGTCAAAATATTTTCTTGTGCTAAAGGGGTTTCTTCTGCTGTTTCGTAACATACATCGACTTCATTCTCAACTGGTACCTCATAAATCTTAATAATTTCAGCAGGAACGAATTCATTGCTATTATAGTTTGCGCTAGTTGCATCTATCTCTTCCAATTCAATAGTTTGTAATACAGAAGAATCAGCTACAATGATATCTGGCACAATATTATCTGGCTCAGCCAAGGTTTTTTCTGATGATTCTTGATCAACTTTTTTAGGACTTTCCCTTACTTCATCCATTTTAAAAACTTGAAAATAATAATTTTACATTCACTTCACTTTTCCTGATTATTAAATGCAACAGGTTATTAATTTTTACTATTTATTTCTCCAGATCAAATAACAATGATATTCATATTTTGTGAAAGAAGAAAAAACTCATTAATATATCACACAACTAATTAATTAAAGAGAAGTAATAATTTATCATGTTAGATAGTGATTGGTAGGTTATAAGTAATTGTGTCACCTTACTTAAGTCTTTGGCACTGGATACTGTTCAATTAATTCGTACGATCAATACGAAAATCAAGTATTTAATTCGACGTCATGAAAATTAAACTAAATCATTCAAAGCAATGCACTATTTCACATCAAAAGTATATACAGAAATGCACCGCTCACGTTTCGTCATGTTTACAAACTGAGCCGACGATACCGACACTCGCGCCGACACGATTCGAGCAGCAGAACGCGGCGTGCGCCTATGCAGGCAGCGACTTGTTTTTTTTTCCCTGAAAATTCGAACGTCACGTAATTGTGTTTCGAATGACTCATAACCGTCTTTAGATATTCGCGCATTTAATGAGAGTGACGAGAACGCTTATTTATAGCTGCTCAGACGTAGTTTTTTTTTTAGCTGTGTATAACGATAGAAGGTATATACACTTGCAAATTTGAACACGTGTGAATTTTCGCCGTTTAATTCGCTCCAAGTACACCAACATGGACTTGCATTAGTGATCGCGAACGCTGCCAAAATCTCGACAGCGATAAACATCTACAGCTGCACAGACGCAATTAGTGTCGGTTAACTGTTTAAATTTCATTGAATTTCCTTGAAACATGGATTTGCTCGATGACAGTGACGGGGCGATTTACGCCATGGACCAAGACAATTTTATCGATACCAAGGACTATCCAGCTGACGAGGACGATCGACAAGTTCGTTTCATTTTGGACTTTGACAAATTTTTCAAAATCCAGGACGATATTTGTTGCATAGCTGGTAAAAGCACGGTATCTTCTGATCAGTTTCTCGCTCAAGCAGATAGTGCTTATGATTTATGTGAACATAATGATGAGTATCATCAATATATGCTGGAACTTTACAATCAAAGCATAGCATTCGCAGAGAAAAATCTTGAACTTGGTACAGCTTACTTCAGAAAGAGCCAATTGCTCTTGCATTTGAAAAAGTTTAAGGATTGTATGATTGAATTGGCCAAAGCTGAAAAACTAGCTAAATCTGAAAATGATCAGTTAAAAGAGAATATTGAGAGTACTAAACAAACATGCATTGCTTCTATGGAGAAAGGAAATAATGATAGCGTTGAGGAGCAAAGCACTAAATTGCATGATCTTCTACCAAAAGAGATACCGTACAAATCTAACAAAATAGATGTTGAAGTTGATAGAGACTATGGAAGATATTTGTTAACAAATTCTACAATCGAAGCAAGTGAACTTATTGCTATTGAAGAAAGTGTAGTTGCATACCCAAGATGTGACTTCACTTATTTAGTTTGCTCTTATTGCTTGAAATGTGCTTGGAATGCAGTACCATGTGATACATGTCCATATGTTATTTATTGTTCTGATGAATGTAAAAAATTAGCTTGGGAACAATTTCATGATGAAGAATGTCCTGTTTATCCTTATATGTACTGTGAAAGACACTATGATTTAGACAAGACTTATATATTGATGGCTTTAAGATTATTCATAATGTTTGTAAAGAAACATGGAGTTGACGAAATAATGGAAAAAGCTAAAATTATTGATAGTAAAAGAGGTATTTGATTGAAAGAGAAGTTTCAAGTTATTGAATTAGAAATTAATTAATTATTTTAACATTTGTTTCAGAGGTAACTGGAGAAAACTTTTTAAGTACCCAAGCTGTTGTTGACTGTAAAAATGTATTTGATTTTGATTGCATTTATAACTTGCCTTGTATGGAACGATTTTCTAATGGTGGTGATCTTTCTAAATATGTTATTGAATCAATGGCTGTGAATGCATTATATAGATATTCAAGTATTCTGAAAGATGAAGACTTAAATGCTGAGGGAAATAACTATTTTCTCATTGACATTAAGATTATTTTAGTTCATCTTTCAAGGATTTTACAGACAAATGCTAATGAAGTAATATATTTACTGCTTAGGTGACATTAAACATTTTTTCAATATTATTTACAAAAATATATTTTTTAGTATCAAGGATCAACGGTATTACCTGAAAATCATCCAGAAGAATGTGATAAACGTTTGTGTAATAAATGTAATATATTACCTACTGCTTGCAGAGGATTGATATTAACTCCATTTTGTAGTTTGTTAAATAATGATTGTACTCACAACGTGAGTAAAGTATTCATGCCAGAACGTAGAGTAATGATGTTTGCTACCAACTTTATTCAAGCAAAACAAAAGGTACTTTAAAATTTTATTACTTAATTAAATTTTTAATAATAATTTTTATATTCTACTTTAATTTTTAGTTGTGTGAAAATAACACATCGTTAATAAACAAACTAAGAGGCTTAGAAGTATCAAAACAAATTGTAACTTTAAATAAAAAGTTTATTTCTTGTAAAGAATGCACTAAATCTAAATCAAGTGATACAGTAAGCATAATTATTTTAAAATGTTTTAATTTTTAAACATACAAATCTTAAATTTCAAATTTATTTTTTATTTTTAGGAATATAAAATTTCTGAGGAACTAAAAAATCAAATTTTTGAAGACTGCAGCCCAGAAGTTTTGAACATAATGGAAAATGATCATACAAAATGGGTTTACAGCCAAGATATCTTAAAACAAGTGATACAAGTTATGAAAATCTCGTTCAAACTACTAAAAGAAGATGAATACTATTACTTTTTGAAACCATATCGAGATTACATCAACAGAATTGTTAATTTATTTTTTAATGAGGATATTTCAATACCAAAATGTAATTGATAGTTTTTTTTTGGCTGGAGACTTAATATGAACGTATTTGTTTTTTTAAATAAAAGTATAAGTGAAAATATATCTTTTGTTTGATTAGATATTTTAAAATATTATAAATTATTTTTTTCTACTCTTCCCAATTATTAAAATTATGGTTATTAATCATGGTTACAATTACTATTTATATCTCTGAATTCCCAAAGATGATTACCGTAATTGTTTTTTTCATTTCAAACCAACCGCTCAAAATGATCTAATGGTGGTCACTGGCCAGAGCCATGTGGCATGCAATGCACGCGAGTGTTAGGTTCATAATGCGGCCGCGTGTGATTATGTGAATCGCCACTTGTGTCTGCTACGTTTTGTTTACATGTCTCAATGAGCATTTTATATTAATATACAGTAGCATTTATCAATTTGATTTAGTGTCTTATTTATTCATTAGTAAAGAAGATTATTAAAAAATGTAAGTATCCGTAATATTACTGAATTTTTTCATTTTTTTGGTTAAATGAAAGTATCCTCAACAAGTTTTGTATAAGCAGTATGTAATAATTCAAATTTTTTTCTCAAGAATTATGGAGAACTTGGATCCACAAATTAGAGAGAAAATTGTTCAGTTTGAAGAATTTATAAACTTCAAGCTCAAAGAAGATTTACGCATACTGGAGCAACAATTAGATAAAAAAAATACAGAGATTCTCGAGTTCCAGCAGTTGAAAGATACAATTAAAGTTTTAAAAGAAAACAAAATGGATGAAAAAGGTTTCAAAACGAAAGTAGATATAGGTCAAAATATATTTATGCAGGCACAAGTCGATGACGCATCGAAAATAATGTTAAACGTTGGATTAGGTTATTATGTTGAATTTACTCTGGATGAAGCTTTAGTTTTAATTGATGTACGAATAAAAATTTTCAACAAACAAATAGAAAATTTAAAAACAGAAGTTGCAAAGACCAATGCGCATATTAAGTGCATGTTGATAGGCATACGAGAACTTCAGGGCTTAGATCCAAAAACTATTGATGACTAGTTCAGAGTATCAGTGATAAAAGTTACATTCTTATTTTATTATTTTATTTTAAATGTAATAAAGATTACATTCTTATTTTATACTTGTACTTTAAATGTAAATACTATAGTTTATATAATTATATATAATGCAGTGACTATTTGAAATTAATTATTGAAACATGTACATTTTTTAGCAAAATCAGTTGAAATTAAAAGAATATTTAATTTTTAATAATATGTTTAGTTCTTTTTTTATTGAGAGTTGCATTGTCAAACCTTTTATCATTAGTTTGCATCAAAATTATGAATAATTTAATTCTTGGTGAGTATCTTGTACCAGTAGATGAATGATTTGTTCAGTAAATAAGTAAAATTAGTAAAAAAGTTGATTTATTAACATGTTAAAATACATGTTAAAATATTTCTACCATCTGAAGGGAAAGTTAATAAATAATTTTAATTTATCAGATTTACTTATTTGTTGAATTGTTTTATTTTTAGTTTGCAGGGAAAAGATTCTTAAATTGAAAAAACATTTCATTTACAACCTTGTTACTAATAAATATTAATATCAGTTTTGAGATTTGAACTATCAATGGATTATGATAGTAGTAACAACCAAGGCTACCTGTCATATAAATGTCATAAATTATAACAAGTGTTCATAATGCAAACGATTAGAGAACAATATAAGGCAAAAAACTTATGACATTAATGCGAATTACTGACAGCTAACGGAAAGTTTAACATTTTATTTATTTTTTTTTTTTTTTTAAATTACCGTAAAAGTATGTGTCTTAATCTGTTTACCCGAAAACGGGCCAAAAAAACATTGCGATTTACCCACACTCTCAAACCGTTATGAAACCGGCATTTAAACGGTACAGCACACATGTGCGCCGCAGAGCTGATCGCGCGATTGCCGAAAATTGCGCGAAAAGCAAATAGCCGCGCCGAGGACCGCCTGCATATAATTTTTATTTATGCCACGCGCCGCATTATAATAACGGTATGTGCGCGACAGAGCTTGACAAATAAGCCGATAACAAAAATGCTGCCAACGAATCGGAAACGAGCCGGTGTATATAGTACACCCGGCGAACGCGTAAAAGCGAGGAGGATTATCATAGATTATACATTCTGACCTTTCGCGTGCCGGCGGCGGCGCCTTTTTACTGTCAACTCGTAATCGGAACTAAATAAAAAAAAGAAAAAAAACGAGTAAAACAATGACGCGCCGTGTACTTTCCGAACTAACTCGTTGAGTGATTAGCGAAGGCTGTACATATCAGCTGATTAATATTACAATCCGATGTACATTAACGCGTGTGAAATATAAATATGAGGCCTGGCGGTGGTGGCCGGTGCAGTTCGTCGCGGATCGGCAAGAAGAATGAAGTCGACAGCAGCAACGATCGTCGTGGCGCTCGTCGTCGGCTGCTTGTTCGCCTTCTCTTGTGCAGCAGCAGCAGAAGCAGCGAACAGCGACGAAGACGTTACCACCGTCACCCCCAACGATGACGAGGAATCGAGCATCGGCAGCAACAAAACCGTGCCCAGCGTCGACCGTATAATCGGCGGCACCCAGACGACCATCGACAAGTATCCGTATCAGGTGTCGTTGCGTCGCAGCGGCGATCACTACTGCGGCGGTGCCATAATCAGCCCCTGGCACATTCTCACGGCGGCCCACTGCATCGTGAAGATAGCCCATCCGCCTTACCGAGACATCACCGTGGTCACGGGCTCCTCCGTGTCCTACGGCAATTGGGGCGAGAGGCATCGAGTCAGGCGGATCGTCGTGCATCCGAATTACGCGGCCGACGAGAAGACGTCGTTCGCCAATGACTTGGCAGTGATCACGGTGAGCGAATGAAATTAATAAAATAATTGTGCGAGACATCGGAGTCCGTCAGAATTTAACGAAACCACGAATAAAACTTTTGTATAGTAGAAAAATCGGTTAAATATCGGTAAATTATTATAGTGCTTTAAAAATTAGAGTATTCTAGAACTTGACCACATTTCGGCACAATTTTTCGACAGAATAAATACAATATAATATCAAAGTAAATTTAAATACTTCTTTGACTTGAATAAATGTGATCGGATACTGTAGGATCAAATTTTTAATAGATTCAATTTTCTATATTGTACAGATAGCGGATACGATTCGCTACAACCAGTATCAGCAAAAGATCGAGCTGCCGAGCAGGGACGTGACGATCGGCGACGTCGCCACCATAACCGGCTGGGGTGTGCGCAAGTATCCGTCCTACGACGCCTCGCCCCATCTCGAGTTCGCCCTCCAGAGGCTCATACCCCTCGAGACGTGCGCCAAGATGGTCAAGCCCTACGTGATCAACAATCAGCAGATCTGCGCTCTGAACAGGAAGGGAATCGGCGCTTGTTCCGTGAGTACATTGGAAAATTCAAAATAAGATGCGAGCGAACGTTTGACGATTTTTAATACCGGTTTTTAGGGCGACAGCGGTGGGCCATTGGTAGCTCACAATCGACTCATCGGAGTCATCTCGTGGATCATCCCCTGCGCCGAGGGTTATCCGGACATCTACTCGAATCTCATTTATCACGTCGATTGGATCAGGTCCCAAATGTCACGATTTTGAAAGCTTTCTTCGAGTCCGATGTTCCTTAGCGTAATGAAGCTTGACACACGTGTTTTGACGAATAATTGTAAATTTCATAATTTTAGGATAAAATAATTCAATAAAAATCATTAAAGCCATTCTGAAAGGTCAATTATAATTCGCAATTAGACATAGTTATGGATGTCTAAAATCAGTTCAGTCTATCAGTTTAAAATAAAAAAAACAGGTGTTATGTTTGAAACTGTTTAAAGCATAATTTAATTTAGAGAAATTTTTTAACTTTATTTAAAATTGTTTTTAATTTTTTACTACTAAACACTACGTAGTACTTCTGTTACCGCTCAGAGAGAAAGATGAACTCATAAATTTAATACAAGACAGATTTCATTCACGAAAAACATTGAATTTTTTCACTAATGGAATACTTTTCCAGTAAAAATGATGGTAAGTACTTACATTTTGGGGTAAAGGGTGAATTTTAATGAAGTTGGAGGTGAATTTTATAAAATTAACCTCCTGAAATAATTAACATCAGAGCATACATTTGTAAAATTGAATTATCATACAAAGATTGATGCACGAGTTTTTAATTAATTTTTGGCATTAGTCTCATGAAAACCGTGACGTCATCGCCTTATAAAACGAAATTTTAAATGATTTTGTTCACTCATGTACATGCACTTGCATGATTCTTGCTGATTTACCTGCAACAACTACAGAGCCATTTATGAACGAATTCGAATTAATTTTCAAAAAGCGGTTTTTATCATCTCACGCTATCCAACTACTTTTAAAACGATAGGGTATTCTTTGCAAATAAAAATTCATTACCCGGTTAATCTGTACTTTGTAAAGTATGTATAATATTAAGTCCAAATTTCTACAAATTATAAAGTTAAATAAGATCAAAAGTAATTAACTAAAATAAAAATATAGAGCCAAAAGCCCGAAAGTATTAAATTTACTTCTTATATCAATATTATAAGTATTAAGAATTACCTACACAACTAATTACTAAAATAGAATAATAATCAATAGAATCTTCCAATATTTGCTAAATTCATAATAAAAATTTCACAAGAACTTTATATTAAATTATTTTTTTATTAATGACATGTACATCTTGAAAATGATCAGATTCATGAAAAATGTTCGAATACGACGCAAATTACTGAAGAACTTTAAAAACTTAATTCTTAGGTACTTCTTATTACGAGTTAACATCAGTTTTACGCACGACCAGTTGATTTTCTATTATATATATACGAGCGGTATTACAAGATCAACTTTGTTAAATTCTTCATTAACTGGCGCCGTTTTGCAGCAAATTAGTTTTAACTTCTTTCAATTCCTGATTCAAGGAATAATCATTTTGACCGTTTAAAGTGAGACGATCGTCGACGATCTCGCGTTCGATTTCCAGCAACTGACGCGACCACGATATCCCAAAAATTAAATTCATAATTCACAACAAATTTTCGATCTTTGAATAACCTTTTTTATGTTCATACTTACAATTCGGGAATTTTTTGCTTCTCACATAATATTCGTTCTTTTTTAATAATTTTGCCATACTTTCTTCCCCATAATTTACGCATGGCTGTTACTTGCACATTTCATGGGCTAAAGTTTGTTTTTCTACAGCTATGTATAAAACCGCCATGCTTGATGGTTTTGACGGTCGACAAGATTTGAACACAATCGGAAGAATTGCGTATGCAGTTACAATTTTCAAGAACAAGGTTAATCATAGAAAATTCAAAAGGCTCGTAGAAAAAATATATTTTTTTTATTTCACGTTAAATATAATAAAAAATACAAATAATCTCAACTTGGAATCATCCAGTCCTGCCACATATCGGTCTAGATCGAGTCTAGATCGATCAAGAGAGTTCGGTGTGCGTCATCAGTTTTCTGCTGGCGTTAAAGACTTCACTCTATGGCGTCGCCAACGGAAGTACATAGACTTTTTTCGGTTGTCTGCTCGCACAAACGCAGTATATCCTCGTCACTCATATGCTCGGCAATTCCGCGACATGCTGTATAAGGTAGGCTCAACTTGCAATAATCTGTCATTAATAAATCAGCCGCAAATAATTCCAAATGCGGCCGTATGAAAATGTTTGCCAAGTGTCTTTTTGTAATGATGTTTATACGAGTACAGGAAATAGAATTCATCGGTGGAAGACTCCAATTTTTCATATTTTTCAATGCCAAGTAACCCTTACTGTAATTCATTTGGCTAACTTGATAGAGCGAGACGTCTTTTATTAGCATAATCTCTTTAGTGCGCGCGACATCAGACGCATGTGGACCATCTATAAATCGAAAAAGTGAAAATAGTTCCTGAGGCTCCATTAAACATTCACGACAGAAATCCTCAACTTTTTTTGGTTCCATATAAAAGCTGAACATATGATGAATATAAAATTCATAAATTGCATGATCTAAATAAAAGAAAAAAATAATAATACAGTATCCGTGGTAAAGTATAAATTAGATATAAAATGATATCTGTAGTAAAAACGCAAAACGACATAACACCATAATCGTTGAGAATCGAGTTAGTGACGGAAATCGTCCATATTTAGTGCACAATTTGAGAAATATATGTCAGAGTAGGTGCATGTAATGTCGATTGCTATAGATCCGACAGTGTGCATATAATACCATAACTTCTCTTCTCGAGAAATGTGGAAAGGCATAATGGCATAAGTCAACGTTTTGAGAGCTCCACAAAGTGATTGATAGCATACTTTTATTCGGAAATGGAAGAGAATGATCTTAAACATATGCACGACTCCCGAATTCTTTGGATATGTTATGAATTTTATTATATGGGTGATACGTTTGATATACTGTCGCCCATTTTCACGATTTAAAGTTTTGACTTTATACATATTCCGATAAGTATTGAAAAAAAATTGTCCGAAACAAGTGGACTTACGCGTTAATTGCCGAAAGACATGAGTAATAAAGTCCATTAATACCAACGGTTGTGTATCTTGTAATTTACATGTCGTTTTGCCATTCTACCACAGGTATATTCTTCTCACAACAGCTTAAAATAAGCAACAAAGGTGCTTATTTCAGGGTAAAATTAAACACGGAAAAAATTAACATTATTTACGAATTAAAATTAAATTACTCACCTAAATCTTCAAGCTTCTCGCCGGTATTGTATTTTCTCACTCTCATCCAACATTTGATCATCCTGAGCCTAGTCAACAAGTCTACTTCGTAGCCGGCCGACTGCAATAGCTGCAGCATCTCGATCACGTTCAAAGCCAGAGGATAGGCTTTCACTTCGATCGTCTTGAACTTCCAGCCGAACATTCTGTCCTCGTTCAAACTGCTCAGACTCGCCCCGTGCTTCAGCAAAGCCCGCGTCAGATCCACGTCGAAGCGGGAGACCGACGCTTGAAGAGCCGTGTCCCCGTGACGATTTCTCGCCTCGATGTCCGCCCCGTGCTCGACGAGCATTCGAACTATCCTCTCGACGGGCTTTCTCTTGTCGCAGTATCTTCGGCTGGACTTGCAGTTGCACAGACACAGCCACGAGAGCGAGTGCAGAGGCGTCGACTGTTCAACGTCCGGCTGGTTAGGATTGGCCCCGCTCTCCAATAAAATCTCGACGACGTCCTCGTGCTTGTACCAGGCCGCTGCCTGCAACGCCGAATACTTGTACGAGTCGCAATTGACGTCCGCGCCTAGACGCAGCAATTTCCTCACCGCCGTCGAGTTGCCCGCCACGCAGGCCGCGTGCAAGTACGTGTATCCCTGTTCGTCGCACTGGTTCTTGCGGGGATTCTCCAGGAAATAATCCACGAGCTCGAGGGTTCTCGTTTTTGGGGAATAATTGTACTTTAACCCGGCTGGGCTCTCGGCCAAATGATGAAGTGCGGATCTTCCATTTGGAAGCGCGACCTCGTGTATTTTGAACCCGCTCGCCTCGAGAAGTTTTATCCACTTCAATTTTCGATGCGTCACAGCAATGTTGAAGTACTTTTTTTTATCACTGACTCTCGGAAACAGGCGCTTACAGCTCAACAACTTTATCCAAACTCTGTCCGGGATTTCGCGACGCGGCGGGAACCATTCATCTTCATCTTCGGGACACTCTGCAAAGAATTTCTTGAGTCGAGCGGAGGTTGTTTTCAAACTTTTCAAATTGATTACTAATTTTCGTAGGCGAGATCTATAGTTATGACTCAACGACATTTTGACTTGAATGGGTAGAGATTCCACTTTTTTGATGAAAAACTTCGAGTCTAACACTGCACACTGTAAAATAAATACCGAGCACCGTCAAAGCACGTGGTGGTGATGCACAACCGTACCGCACCAACGCTTGAATGACAGAGAGAGAAAACTTTACGCGTGTGCCATGGTTCGACATGTATTGGACGCGTTATGCGTTGGATTGCAACGTATTGGGAAGCTGAGGCGCAGGAGGCGGAGCTATAATGACGTCAGAGTCGACAGTGCAACACGATGGAGTAGAATCATTGACGACCACTCAGATATGGGTAAAAACGCCAATAATGCCCTAGCGCCGCGCGCGGGAAGCGAAAACGGCCGGATTGCTTAGTTTTCAACTCGCTCGCAAAGGGTTAAATAAAATTCAGAAAAATAAACCAACCTAGGTTTTTGATAGGTTTTTACCTCTGTTTGCTACTGGTGAGGTCGAAAATGCAAAAACATGCCTCCATCAAAAAATGGATTTGAACTTAAAACGCGCTGTATTTTTTTTGCCCCCGGGTTTAGAGTTTTTTGAGGGTCTAGATCGAAAGATCTCGCAATTTTACTTAAGAATCAGTAATATAAATAAGGGAATTTCGCCATAAAAATAAACAAATACATGCTTTTTGTGTATTTTTTCTCATCTTTCTAATGATGCAATTAGTTTTTGGAAAAGTGGCTCCGTTTCGCGAATACAACGAAAATAATAAAACTATTAATCAAAAAAGTTAATTTATCTGTTCAAAAAAGCCAATTTTCCAAAAACTAATTGCAGTATTGGAAAGATGAGAAAAAAAATACACAATGAGCACGTATTTGTTTATTTTTATGGCGAAAGCCTAACGCGTGAAAGGTAAAGAAATGTAAAATGTAGCGAAAAAACTGCAGGCCGCGGCGCTCGGAAACGGCCGACCGCGCTCTCTTTCCCTTTTAACCACTCGAGAAAATCGGAAAAGTCCCTTTTGTTAGAGTCATTGCTCATGTAAAATCGTGAGATCTTTCGATCTAGCTAGTCAGAAAGTCGATCGGAGTTTAACTCTGGAAGTTACAACGTATTTTAGCTTCAGTCCATTTTGTGAGGTTATGGAGACATATTTTGGTATTTTCGACCTCACCACAAAGCCAAGGTAAAAACCTATTGAAAATCCATGTTGGTTTATTTTTTTGAATTTTATTTAACCCTTTGCAAGCAACTTGAATACCGAGCAATCCGGCCGTTTTCGCTGCCCGCGCGTGGCGCTGGGTCAACATTGGCGTTTTTACCCATATATCCAAGCGTATTATACTACTCCGATGAAATATTATCGTAATTTTTATTTTGTTTCACGATCATTTTTATTATACTTCTGATAAATTTTGATACATTTATACATTTTACAGTAAATTTTGTCTCAAGTCAAAAATGTCACTCTTTTTAATATAAAATTAGCAATTTTTCTATGTTGTTATAAATTTGATAATTGTAAATAAACAAGATAGCAATTTGGGATTTTACATTTACTATCAATGGTGAGTTTTATTCTAAAATTTGAAGAGTATTTCTATGATGTTAATGTAAGTTTCTATGCATGGACAATTAACAGTTTCCTAGTAGTTAAAAACACATACATTCACACTGTCATCAATTTTTATTTTTAATGTAATGCCTAATTGCAAATTGGAATTCAGACTTAAGAAGGGTCGAGACATATATCGTCGGTCACGGATGTTTATTTATTATTAATTTTTAAATTTTTTAATAAGGCTTACTCTGTTTTTAATAACAGTATCTGATTCAAATTATTCAAAAACGTTTTAGGAAATGAAAAAAAATATTTGATCGAATGAAGTTGTAAAATTATTACAATCACTCAATTTTGCAAGTAAGTTAAAACTTTTAACATAACGACAGCAAAACAGAAATTTAAACATTCAACTGACATAAAACGAATTTTAGGTCATAATACTTGACACGAATATTGGACTTTTACTATGATCCGGTGACAGTCATTTACGAGCATAAACGAACTCACTGAAAATTTGCGCACGCCGGCGCCGCGCGAGCCGTTACTTTACAGTTATGCCGCTCTTTTGGCCAGTAGCGGTAGCTTCTAGAAACATTTCAAAACAATAACTTCAAAGTCGACACACCAAAACGCGAGTAGCAAGTCTTACGTCGAGACAGAAAAACGTGTGCGTGATTGTGCTGTGCCAGACAACACCATTGAATATCTTTGTATTAGCTGTACGATTTGAGAAACTATAGAGTAAGTTCGATTGGACAGATCGAAAAAAGACATTGTAATCATTGAACCAAGTGCTGCGTAAAATACTAAATCGTGATTCCAAAATGCCCGATACGATTCAATATTCGGAAAAATACAGCGACGACCAGTATGAATACAGGTTGGTGTCTTCGTAGCTCTCATTGTTGTTTGTTTACTATAGCCTGTGGTCCCATAAGATTTGTCATGCATACTTTTGTGTTAGATCAATGCCAACGTAGATGATATAAAATTTTCTTGTGTATTTCAGGCATGTTATTCTGCCGATCGAGCTCGGAAGAAAAGTACCCAAATCACATCTCATGACCGAGAGCGAGTGGCGTAATTTAGGCGTTCAGCAGAGTCCTGGATGGGTACATTACATGATGCATGGTCCAGGTACATGTCAATTTTTCATTTAATAGTCATTAATTCTACTGATTGTACTCAGATTTTTATTGTTTTGTTTTTAGAACCTCACATATTGTTATTTAGAAGGCCCTTACCCTCTCCTCAGCCGCAACAATCGCAGCAGTCACAACAACAGAATATTTGTGTCGCTTAGACCATGTTATCATCTATCTTCTTCAAGCTTGGATTTCTCGTACTTTCTATTTAAATATTAAGTATCATGGATTCTTATGAGATTTAAGACTTGAATGTTAAGGATGTATAGGATAATTAACTTGAAATTTCTCAAACGTAAACAATGAGAAAAAAATTCAAGTCTCGCAGTATTTACAGAATTTTTGTTTGAAATCATGTGTAGTATTACAATGTAAACTAGTAAGTTTCAGGCCATAATCAATTTGCGGATTTCAATCCGCATAGGACCATATCATAAAATACAATAAATTAATTGTAGTAATTAAACTCTTTAGGTTTAATTAATAAGTACACTGTGAATATGAATTTTAGCTAATACTATAAGATGTTATTGTCTTTATAAAAATTTAAGGCGTAAGGTGTATCTTACAACGTGTCATTTTTTCTATGAATCAATGTTTTGTGTTGCTGGTAATCAACATTTTTCATAAGAATCATAAAAATATACTGGTGATTTTGTATTCTTCTATAAGTATAAAAAAAATTGAAAGTCAAACAATATTTCAATTGCCATACGAAAGAAAATTAAACCATTTTTTGTAAAATTTTCTGTGTACAAATGTTATATCGAATAAGAAAGAAAGAAATTTAATCAATCGCACAACTGATCATTGTTGGTTCATTGAATAACTTTCATATTTCATTTTATACAATGTCCCACCAGCGTGTAGCCTATTTAAGCATAGTTAAAAGGATTTGGCAAATCCGCTTTAGTTAAATAGGGTGAAACCTTAAGTCTGAATCCGAACCCCCACCCTCTCCTCTTTTCGTGTGCAAAATATCTTGAGCGTGTACATCGGCGCAACTTTATTGCATAAGAGGAAAAATTGCTCAAACAGTTCGTCTTCTTCCGTCAAATTTTTCACACCTGAAATTTTCGCTCGTCGGGTTGAGAAAAAAGTTACAACGCGTAAATGTTAACGGATAAAATTTATAAGTGCGTGGAAAACGTGACTTGAAAAGTGCATCTAGATCTGCGCGTGCGAAAGGCGCAACAATCGCCTCCGATCCCTAGATGTAGGCAAGCACAGTTGCACTATATATACGATATACACTGACGTTTTGCAGCCAGCTGCTCATATATCGTCCCGTCTCTGTCTTGCTTTACCCACACTGCACTATCAGTACACACAGCGCTAGTACATAGACACTCGGCGGTAGCAGCAGCAGCAGCAGCGAACGGAGCAGACGGCTCGCGTTCTTGCCATGCTGATAAATGAGTGCTCCGTTGCCTACTGCTTGGGTGCTGCTGCTACTGTAACTCCGCGTCAGCTTCTGCAACGGGATGCAAGAACGTCTCGTTATAATTACACGCGACAACCCGCAGAATCGTCGTTCATGTCATCATCGCGCGCGCAGTGACCCTCGATGTTCTATAGCCGCGCGTTCGCTAGATTACTGAGGGCTTGGCCGGGTAGGCAGACCTTTGGGCCGTATCGCTTTCTGCCCGTCTTCTTTGTGGCTGGTGCCGCGCTGGAATACTTGATGATCCACTGGCATGCCGGAGAGGTTAACTTTTACAAAACATACAAGAAGCGCCGAGTCGAGGAGATCTGCCAGGAACGCGAGAAGCTGTCCGTGTTCCAGGAGCACGACATCCAGATACGTGTCAATAAGCCAATTCTCAGTCAGCTTCATCAGTGAATCAGCGTGACCAATTCGATTCGACAGTTTCATTCGACAACACGATGCCTGCTGGTTTGTCTTGGCCAAGATACATCTCGATCTTCGCAGCCTCGATACTGACCAGTTTCGCTGGAGCCCAGTGTGTACATATGTATTATAAGCCACTCGATGATCTCGAGCAGCTCGTTCAGCAGGAACTCGAGAGGAGAAGAAGAGCCAGAGAAGAATCCAAATCGTCAGCTAGTATCTAGTCAAAGTATGGAACTTTAAAAATGTTATGTAATATTATGTAAAATCCAACACAAACACTCGCATGGTTTACAAAATGCATACTTTGAGTACAAGTAGAATTGAATAAAATGTATGATTTTTTATCAACAATGTATCTTCATTATGTATCTGTTGTACTTTTTTAACTTTATGGCTTGCATTATACACATTTGATTCTCAAACAGAACCAATTTTCATAAGTTTACAGAGTGTCAACGGTTGTGTTTATAATTTTTATGAAGAACACGCTTTCATTTCTCAAAATGTTGTGTACAGTTGTATTTAATGTAAAGCTAGACTTATTTCAGATACTTATCTGCAGGCTCAGAGTAATTTGAAGCAACCTTTATTACAATATATGCATTATACAAATTATTTGTTTGTATTTATTATTTGTCACAAACACTCCTTACAGTACTATATATAATGCTACAATACGGTAAGAACTTTTTGATATCGCATGGTGCATAATCAGCTTCTAGATGTATTAAACTTTGTCGAACACAAGTAAAATTAGTTTCAATGTCAGGATTGCACTAATTCGGATGCGTGATAACGAACGATCCGGTAAGTATTTATAAAACTCGGGATATTACAAATGTCGACCTCCAACTAATTACCTATCTTAAGGAGTAGAAAAAAAAAAGAAGGAACGAAAACTTTTGCCGCTCGAGCGAGTCACGTAAGTAAACGTCGAAGATGGCTCGTATGAGCTTGCATGAATTTCATACAAAGGTACGTATACGTATGCGCACGTTGCAGACCGACTAATCCATTCATTAAATGCATTACGTTGTTGCTGTGGCGCACATTGCTCGTCGAGCTCGCGAGCACACTGTACACGAAAAATTTCTGCACTAGTCACGCAACGTAAGTGCCTCATAGGTATAATATAAATTGCCAAACGGATTGATTTATTCGGCATGTATAGAGAAGCGCCCGAAACTTATGTAAAAGTGTATATACCAGTGTGCATGGAGTAGACAGGCTATAATAAGCTCACGCTCGCGCAGAATCTCAGCCTTGGACAGAATAAAAAGAAAACGGTGTCAGTATCGCGTGGAGCAGAGCGCAGAGCAGCATCGAAGCCGATTTTTCGCGTATACGATGATATATTGGTCAGTCGGTCGATCACGGGGTGAAAATGACAGGAAGCGTCCACTCACGCGCGATATATAACGTATTATGATACATGTGCGTGTGACGTTCGCATCGATGAGACTACGGAGCTTGCAGCGGCGGCGGCGGGATCCCCCCGCGCGGGGCCGGTTTGTGTATCGCTGCTGCTGCACGCGCGTGCAGCCTTGACAGTGTCAACGGATAAAGCGTTGTTATTATATGCATAGGTATTTCGGTGCCGATCTCCGATCTCTCGTTCGATAACGAGACTTTGATTCGTTGTTATTAAGCAGAAGTCGTACGTAAACATCGAAATCGAGTAGGATAATATTCGGTTACGTTCCGCGAGGAAAAGGTTTTTTTTTTTTTTTAATTAAAAACTCGAGAATCCGTGGAAAAGCGCGGAATCGCGGGGAAAACTTTTGACTACGCCTCGGATCGTTACCGCAGACTCGTTGAACTTTCTGACTATACGGTAAAGTAAAATAATAATAATAATAAATAAAAAAAAAGTCTAGAAATGACGGTGCGCGCGTATATTTTTATATGTCTGCCTTGGCCTCTTGAATCAATTTTCCGGCTTCCTGCTGTGCCGCTACGCGATATATAGGGCTCGCGCGAGCTATATACCTACATCATCATCATCTCTATAGCAGGCTCGGTATATATGTATATGTATATCGGTTACATTATGCATCATGATCAGGGCTGCTGACTGATTGGCAGTAGCAGCAGCCAATGTGCACACACACTCGGAATATATAGCACACTTAGGCATACCTAATCATAATCGCGCCTAGCCTTTATGGACCTGCCGCTGCGCCGAGCCGGAGAGGAAGATTATTGCCGATTAGCGATGCGTTCGTATTAGTAGTCGTGGTTCGGCGATTGGCGCCCGACGCGCACGCACGTCTCTCTTTCGGGCATGGGCTTTTCCATCCGCGAGTCCGAGAGAGATATAATACAGGTAGAGAAACACGCGTTAGGTAGTTGCGTTCGCGGGTACAATAGGTATACAATAATAATTACGTATTGGCCGATAGTAGTAGTAGTAGTAGTAGTAGTAGTAGTAGTAATAGTGCAGAGGTCTTACGCGATATTACCCGCGAGCAGTGCGAATTTCGACGTGTAATTATTTGACGAGGATTAGAGAGAATCGCAGCCGATGTGCGGCCAGTATAGCATAGTAGTGTGGCTGCAGTGCTTATGTACCTTAACGCTATAAGACGTTAACAATTTTCCTCGCTCCTTTTTTTTTTTTTTTTTTTAGTAGTAGTAGTAGTATCATTACATAAATCGTTTTGACACGTAACTCGTTGGAAGCTTACTCGGTACGCTAGTTGTATATATTTTGAGCGCGCGTATATTTTTTTGTACGATACATAATCAAAAAAAAAAAAAAAAAACACACACANGCTCTACATAAAAAAAAAAAAAAAAAAAACACACACAGAGTTTTCCAGTTTCATGTTGACTCGATGACTCGAGCTTCTCAGCGACGCTTCACGCTTCGTGTTCGTTCGAAATTTTTTTTCAACTCAATCGCCGATTGTCGGTATAGTTTTTTTTTTTGTTTTTACGAATTAAGTAAAAAATAGCGAATCAGCCAACGAACCATAATAGAAAAATTAATACGTGCCATTGCAGAAGCCAAAAAGCGGGGATGTCAAAGAAAGTAGTGTCTTTGCTCTATGCCAAAGAGAATCATCTTTCTGACTGATGACGCTCAAGGTGGTGTCTTTACTCTACGCTAAAGAGAACCATCTGTCGGACTGATACGCACCCGCGGGATACAACACAAATCGGATCGAGAAATAATAATATACAACAAATACACAGCAAGACTTTGATAATTGGGGGTTGATAAAAGAGGAGAGGACGAAGGAAGGAAGGCGCAGGGACAGAAGGAAGGAAGGAAAGGACAGCGATCGTCATCATGTCGCTGAGGCAGAGAATCTCCGGGGCGATAGCCGTGCTCAGGGGCGCGCCTCTGCCCACGTCCGAGTCTCAGGCGTAAGTCATTCTTTTTATTCTCGATTATTTTTTACGCATTTCCATATAAATTACTGCAAAAAACTTTTAGCAGCGCGTGTGGTTTTATTTAACGTCATTTTCCGCGTAATAATATAATTAAAGGTCCGTGTTAAAATACGCATAATTCACGATTTCTCATCATTTTTTTTTTTGTAATTAAATTTTTACCGAAAGGTAAGCTTTTTCAGCAATGCATTGTCGCTTTTATAGGGCTCAAATTGAGAAAATGGCCGGCGACGACTGCGACGACATCGAGGAAGGCGATCGTCCACCTAGTCAAAGCTTCTCGGACAGGGCCATTATTTTCAAAGACGAGGTAAGGATCATCGCAATTACGCCGTGTTACCGTGCCAAGTTTCATTGGGTTTTTCGTTACTTTTTGTGTCAGTACGGTTCATCGATAAAGGGTTTCCTCGATAATTTCTTTGAGTTCTGATTAAGGATTGATTACGTTTGTGGTCACGATTTTTTTTGGCTAGCTATTACGCAATTAGCGCTAGAAATCAATCGTCCAGTTTACGGACGACGAACGAAGAATCGTACGGTATTAGCGCGAGGGCTCCGATAATTTTGTGTTTTATAATGCAGGATCGGTTATAATTTTTTTTTTTGTAAAATGATGAGTGCTACGATTTAAATAAATAAAAAAATGTCATTAAATAATTCACCTTGATTTTTCCTTTTTTTGTATTTTCATTATCACAACTAGCAGTTGTTTTGAATGAAGCTGCTTGTTGCGTGACACATATCCATGATTTAATTTAATTTAATTATAAAGGATAACGCAAAGAGCGACAAAATAATAAGTCGTCGTCTCCATTGCAATCAAGTTGGTCGCTATTCGAGCTATTCCATGTCGAGAACATACATTTTAAACTAAGTGCAAGTACTCTTGAATAAAAGTATTAAAAATTCCAAAAATAAAGTTGTTCGTATAGCTCGTTAATTGATCAATATTGAAATATGAACTCTTTACCAACTGACGTAACGCAGACAGTCAATACGCAATTTGACAAAATACAAAGAACAAAAAAAAACAAGGTTTTTACTCATTTTCATGAATCTAAAATTTTTTTTGGTCCTTCGTACGATGTCAAATTACGAAGAAAATGAAACCTCAACTTTGACCTCTCGTAGATCTCTGAGAGATGGACCTAAAGGACTGAAATTTTCAGAATTTTTTCCAAACAATCTTTATAAGAGTAATCGACGTGGAATAGCCCAAACCCGATAAACAATCTCAAAATCGAAATGCTTATCGCGCGATCGTACATGGATTATGCGTGTTGCAGATGATGCTCTGGATGAAGGACAACTCGCTGCTGGTCTGGACGATCGCGGGCGTCCTCGCGGGCTGCTTCTTCGGCTCGATCGGTCGGCTGGCCGATTTCTCCGAGCAGACCATCATGCTCATCAGCTTCCCCGGCGAGATCCTCATGCGCGTCCTCAAGATGTTCATACTCCCGCTGATCATGTCCTCTTTGATAGCAGGTAAAAAACTCGAACCCTATATATATTTCCCTATATAGTATCTCGTACTATATATATATATATCGTCGTCCGTACGCAGGAATGGCCCAGCTCGACGCCAGATGCTCGGGTCGCATCGGCATGCGCGCCCTCACCTACTACATGTCCACGACGATTCTCGCCGCGATCATCGGCATCTGCGTGGTCCTCGTCATGCACCCGGGCGATCCGAGCATCAAGAGTCACGTCGAGGTAGCGAGGAGCGACGAGGCGCGGGTCTCCACTCTCGACGCGATCCTCGACATCGTGCGCAACATGGTGCCGGAGAATCTCGTGCAGGCCTGCTTCCAGCAGGTCCAGACCACCTACGCGAAGCGCAAGCACGTCCAGCCGGGCGAGTCGCCCATCGAGCCGGTGCTCGTCTACAAGGACGGCACCAACGTCATGGGCCTCATTGTGTTCTGCATCACGTTCGGTCTGCTCGCCGGCCAGATGGGCCCGCGCGGCCGACTCATGGTCGACTTCTTCGTCGTGCTCAACGACATCGTCATGGCCCTAGTTAGCTTCGTTATTAATTGGTATTCCCCGTTCGGGATAATGTGCCTCATAGCCGGTAAGATCATGTCGATCGCCAATTTGGCGGCGACCGCCCAGATGCTCGGCCTCTACATCGTCACGGTGGTGCTCGGCCTCATGATCCACGGCATCGTCACGCTGCCCTCGATCTTCTGGCTGGTGACCCGTCAGAATCCCGCCGTCTTCTTCAAGGGCATCATACAGTCGTGGATCACGGCTGCGGGCACGGCGTCGAGCGCCGTCACGCTGCCCATCACGTTCCGCTGCCTCGAGGAGAACAACAAGGTCGACCCGAGGGTCTCGAGGTTCGTCGTGTCCGTGGGCGCGACCGTCAACATGGACGGGACGGCCCTGTACGAGGCCGTCGCGGCCATATTCATTGCCCAGGTCAACGGCATCAGTCTGGGCATCGGCGAAGTCATCACTGTCAGGTATAAAACTAGTTGCTTTCTATTGAGATTTTTTACCTAGAACTTGATATTATACACTGAGAAAAAAAATTCATTGATTCGATGAAAATTTAATTAAATACAATCTATGAAATAATTTCATTGAAATAATCTTTTTTTATTTCATCCAAAAAAATATTTAGTTGTTTTTACTAAAATTTCATGAAACTAAAGAAAAAAAAATTATTTCAATGAAATTTTTTCATAGATTGTATTTAATTAAATTTTTATTGAATCAATGCATTTTTTTTCTCAGTGTATGGAGTGGATTGCATATGAATTTATAGGCCGAAAAATTTACATTGATTTCCAGTCCATTCTTCACTCGGAATTCCATGTGAACGTTTTTCAATCTTAAAATCTTTCTATGTAAAATCCACTCCACTCCATGTCAATTTACATATACATCGATTTTCAAGTCAAAATTCATTTGGAATTCCACTATACCTTTTTTAACATGGATTGAGCATAAAATCTTTCATACCGATTTCTCTTTTATTTTGTTCAACAGTTTGACAGCGACCCTGGCCAGCATAGGCGCCGCCAGTATACCCAGTGCAGCCCTCATCACTATGCTGCTGGTCTTGACTGCTCTTGGCCTGCCCACCAGTGACGTGTCGTTGCTCTTCGCCGTCGATTGGTTCCTGTTAGTCTTGAAATCCTTGATTTAGATACCGATCTCGACTTCCCGTTATTTACTTCATTTTTCTTGATATCGTTGCAGCGACCGCGTGAGAACTTCCGTGAATGTTCTCGGCGATTGCTTTGGTGCCGGCATCGTTTATCATCTTAGCAAGGATGAATTAGTGAAAATGGACGAGTTGAAGCGTCTCGAGGATCTGCAGGAGGTCGTCGTGCCTGGGTCGCCGCTTCGTCCGCCCGTCGTGCTGCAGCAGCAGCAGCATCAGCAAACGCAGGAGGCGCCCAAATCACCGAATTTGGATGCCGACGCGAAGAAGACAGCGGCGGCGGACAGCGACACCACCGAGTTGACCATCGAGACGAAGATTTAAAGCAAAATAAAAATTCTAATAAATAGTTATTGTTCTATAACGTCTTTTTGACTGCTCTACGATAATACATCTTTTGTCCGCGGCTCTCGTTTCGTATCGCGGGGGAGAAAAACTTATCTTTCCCCGTGATCGAGGCGGCCGCGGGCCCTCGCCTTGTATATCACACAATTGTGTCGTGAACGATATAAGCATCATTACCCCCACTACAAAAATACAATATTCAATTTCTCAAGATTATAAATAATTAACACGAATAGAAGGATGAGTATGATGGAGTAGTTGTGCGAGTGATGTGATGAATATCCCCCCCTTCTTCTCTCATTTAGTGCCATTGAGTGTTTCTGCTGGATACTGAGAAACAACGATATTATATATAAATATAAATAATTAAAGCAGTTTTTCGAATCGTTATGGATTGTCATTCAATTGCGATGATCGTTTTTGACGAAAATTTTTATATTTTGTAAAAATGTCAATTTTTGATTACCAAAAAAAAAATTATTGTATTCAATATATTATGATCATAAGTATTATACAATAAAATATCATTAGTTAACACCTTATCTCGTTAATAAAATACATTGTCTGGTTGGTTTATTAGAATTGCCCAATAAGTCCATTAAAACGATTGATAGTTTCAAACAAATTTATTAAATTTGTGTGCAGTGTCTGCAGCGTATTTGGTATAGTATCAAATTACTACATACAATTAATATATTTACATCTCTAATATTTGTACAACTTGTTGCAGCAAAATTCCTATAATTAATTGTTATGAATTATATTTAGTGTTTTGCATTGCGAATGTAAACCAATTATCCATTGATGAGGTGATAGACTTGGAAATAATAACATTAGTGATCCTCTCAAGCTTTAATAAACATGAACCATGCCGTACAGGAATCTAGACATTCAATCAGAAAAGTTATGAAATGATTGTTACTGAAATAATAAAATAATAATGGTAAGTATACATACGTCCAAAATAACACATAAGTCTGCAGCAGAATGAATATTTTGGTTAAGGAAAATATATTTCTGAATAAACTGAATGAAAAGCTATATGAATTTTAATAAAAGGATACAAATAGGCCACTGAAGAATCCACTCGTTAAAAGACTGCGCCTACTGACAAAATACTTGTTCCACTCGCCTCCAGCTTTGATCAATATCATCATCTGCACAAAAAAAGTGTAAGAATACATAAGAGCATTTTTAAAAATTTGAATATCTTGCAAGAGTGTAAACTAACCCATAAACTAATAGTAGCTAAAACATAAAATCCAAATCCATACAATCCAGTAAGACCTAATACTCCAGCGGTGCCTCCTGATAAGGCTGCCATTGATATTCTGCAATATTCCACAACTGCAGAATTATTTCGCACGGCGATCTCGCTGTAGGCGATGACATCTATTAAAAAAAGTTACTCATTAATTATACATCATTGATTTGGATTGTTTAATAACAATACAAGTTCTAATCATTAGTTGACAGAGCTTTACATTTCACAGAATCGAATAACCTACATTATGTGCTCTATCATTGCAATTGACAACTAATTAAAGTAATCATTTGAAAAGTTGATAACCAATTTTTCACAAATAAACAATCTGTACCAACCATCTTTGTCCTGTTTCGTCCTTATTTTTCCAGCCATGTTTATTAATTAATAGGAATGAAACGAGAAAGAATATCAAAAAATACAAATTTACGTCTGCTCGGGTCAGCTGTCGCGTCAACTGTCAACACTACACACTCGGCTTAATTATTATCAGCCAACACACAGCCTACACAGCGCCATGGCGTTTTGTCGTGTATATAGGCACCCTAGGCACGTTCGACGGGGTTTCTTTTCATGTCGAACAGCACATACGAATTGTGAGACGAGTCAAGTATCGGCGCACGTTCGCGATTGCCATTTGTTTCAATAAAGAACGTTCGGATTTTGGGCATGGACTGTACATTTTTGTCATTTAAATTGTTTAAAGCGATATAGTTAAATACCTAAGCTAAACGTGAAACGGTTCAGATAATCTTTAGCGCCTTCGAATATTTAAATATTTCTCAAGATTTGTTGAAAAGAATATTCAAAAACATTCTAATTTAAATAATTGTTTATGATAATAAACAAAACGTGGATGAAAGTATGTAAATTAAAAATATTTCCAACAATTCATTTTTGAAGTGTTTGTGTAAAAGGACACCCCAGCATATATAATATCTGCTGTGTACGATGAAATACTAGGTAATGCGATAAAAAAAGTACATTACGAATCTTACTTGGCGATTCAAGAATAGACGTTCAGCTGGGCATGCCGCTCGTTAGTAACTTACTTCGTGAACAAAACTATCTGGTGAAGAAAGGACGCAGGTTGCAGCGAGGTTTAGATACTTTAATAGGCGGCAACAAATAAAAACTAAAGGACTCGAGTCATAACAGAAAATTTCTGCGAATTCGTGTTACAACTGGCCAAGCTTGTTTCGTCCAGCAGCATTGATCAGTAATCAGTTACACTGCTGCAGCGACGGAAGTGCGCAAAAGTTAAACGTTCATACGTATACGACTGGTGCCTTTATCAGATTTTTTGAAAGTGTATACGTGCATTAATTGTGATAACACGAATGATAACGTTCAACGTCGGTTGACAGAAAATACAACGAAGACAAAGACATCTGGGTAACTATACTTTTAAATGTATAATTTAATATCCATGCATGCGAGTTGAATCGCAGGCCGGCATTTTGTGTTATTATATTTATTGCGTCTTCACATTTACTGTAATTCGTAGTTTCTTAATGGACTAGTAAAATATTCTGAGTTTATAGTTTTTGTAGTTATAAAGTTCTTTCTTGCAGATTGATTTTCTTTGTTACGCCAATACCATTAAAATTTCGACAAAATAAAAGCTTGTCTCAATTTACATTTTATTTTATTTTTCTTATTTCATGTTATTTAAAATTGTATATTGATTACAGGTAAAGAGCAAAGCCGCTATTCAGGATTATTTTATTGTAAATCGATCCAAAACAATCATGACAGAACTGCATTACAATCCAGACGAACTCATACCAGCTGATGATCGACTGAAAAAACTTAGGCAAACAATTTTAACTGGCAGTAAAACAAAAATTCTTGAAACAGGGCTTCGATACAAAGGGAATGCTCCTCCTGTAAGTTGTTGTAATATTGTAAAAATTAAAATAACATTGGACCATTATTAAAAGTACTCTAACTAAAAATCCATTATTTTTCAGGAATTTGTTGTTAGACTCACCAGGCACACAAAATTAGATGGCAATACTGCAGTTTCGTACGTAGATTTTTCAAAGCACATATACGATGAAATTCTATCTTTTCAAGAAGATATTAGATACAATTTAAGAAATGGAATATCAAAGACAATTTGCCAAAAAGAGAATATTCAAATCTATAGTCAGAATTTGGGTGAAAAAGGAAAGTATGCTATGACTGTGTGCTTTTATGAACTGGATACCAAAAAAAGAATATTTATGATTGAAAGTACGTTCAATCGTTTAGTTTATCTGTCTCCAAAAATTGAATTTTACTTCAAAAAGATGGATAGTGACAGTGATTCAGAATATATAGATGAAGATGAATATGATGATTATGAAGATGATGATGATAGTTATTGGGACAAGTACTACTATGATGATTTTGATGATGAATATGATTATGATTCTGAAGATTACGATTCTGAAAATTACTATGATTCTGATGACTGGTATTCTGAAGATGAAGATAGAGAATATTATGATGCTTGTGGTTGTTATAATTATCATTATGGTTATTGTAATGCTTATTATTCATAAATGTCCAAACACTTTTTATCAACCCTTAAAATAGTTCACTTCAATCACTTGAAGAAGGGAATTTGGTTTTATATTTATAGTTTCAACAAATTCTAATTTTTGATTTGAAATATTATCTGTTAAAGATGAATATATGATAAACGAAGTTTTATATTTAAATAATTAAATAAAGTTAATTGTTTCTGACAAAAGTTTATCATTTTATTCCATTCTATATTTTTATATTCTATTAATTTTACAATGAATAAATAAAATCAATGGATTTCACAGAGTTCACAGCATTATGTAAAGTAATGTTAGATCTAGTGAAGCACAAATTCAATACAATATAAATCAAATCAAATGCTCAATTGATAAATATTTACAATCAATTATTTTTCGAGTTTTAAAGACAAAGCACAGTCTACAATTATTTGTTAGTTTTAACAATATATTATTTTTAATTCTTATATTATCTACATTAACATTATATTTACAATTATAATTCATATCGGGAAGTTTGTGTGTCAATTAAGCTAGAAGATTCTTTGTCAAATTGTAATCTTGCCACCATTCTTCCTGTAATTTGTTCTACTCGTTTGCAACCACTATTAGAAAAAATGTTTTGTGGTGGAGGACCAAATCTCAATTCACTGAATACTTTTTCAATGAGATCATTAGTAGGTGTAACATTCAATGCCCTGTAGGCATCGTGAATACAGTTCCTAACGTGATGTTTTTCCAAAGGCAGAAAAGGGACATAATAATCAATAGCTTCAGCTTGAATCATGGCACTTTCATAAAATCCACCGCTTTGACGCAGCGTTATTGTCATGATAATGTCTTCAAAGTCTTGAAGAGTGGTAGATTCTCTGTCTAGATCGTCTTCATATTTTGAAAGCAAATGATTTTGTATTGCTAGACCTCCTCTGTTGGTCATAAATATAAAGATGGATTTGTTTTTATTAGATTTACCGCCATAATTTCCACTATCAATAAAAGGCATCAAAATATTCAATAAACCAGGAGGCATATAATCGACTCCATCAAAAACAAAGAGTGACCTTTCACATGAGTTTATGGCTGCTTCTACTTCAGATTTTAATTGCACCTGAAACATCAAGATAGATTTTTGAAAATTCATACAAAGTTCAAAAATGATACATTTAAACTAGGGTCATTAATAGCTTACTTGATATTCTGAGACTTTTTCATGTATGGGAAAGTTCTCAAGACCATAATAGAAATGGAAGAATTTGCTCTTTTCTCCTTTCTTGTAAAATGCACGAGCAATCATCTTTGACACAAAGCTCTTGCCAACGCCATTGGTACCTTGAAAACTCAAGACAAGTGGCTTATCGGAAGACTTGATGTGACTGTTGATTGCATTCAAAACTACTTCTGATGCTATGTGCTGACCATACAGTTTTGTCCACAGCATCGATCTAAGGCCTGTAAAAAAACAAAACAAAAGCTCGTATCATAGTATCCTAAACGATAAAAGATAAATTAAGTGATCAATAACTGACTATTTAAATTGTAAGGCACGTCCTCGACTCCACAGCACTCGGAGTGCTGGCAGTAATAGTCCTTGGCCGAGTGTATCGTAGCGTCGGCCAGCTCCTCCACGTAGCTGGCAATCGAACTCGCCGCGGAAGTCGCCGACTCCCAAACCTCGGAAAAATCTGCTCGTGCATCGTTGACGTGCAACAGCAACAACAACAACAACGAGCACGATAGAACGACGATGAATCGCGCCATTCTCGATTCGCTGCCTGTCAGTCAAATGTCATAATAGCCCCAGCGGATCCTTATAAAAACAGTAGATTCAAGATATCAGTTGGTTTTGTTTCATAATTAAAGTGCACGCGCGTGCCAAAAAGCAGGCAATTTCAAAGCGTAAGAACTATCGGATGATGTCATCGCACGATGGTTTGCTTACTTTTCAAGGCACTAAAACAAAAAAAAAAAAAAACAAACAAAGCGCACAGTGATGATAATACAGTATATATATAGGAGTGGACAGCGCCGGCGGCAGACTCGACAGCGTGCGAATTCCGAAGTTTGGATTGGAGCAGAAGCCGGCCTGCGCGAACTCGGTTGCGCAGTAGGATCCTCGGAGAATCGGTTCAGAGTTATTTTCGTAATAGAGAGAGATAGAGAGAGGCACAGATTTTAGGAAAATTTATTAGATTAAGCGTTGGATTTAAAATATTTTAGTAAAAGGTGATAGATATAACGAAACGACAGGGCGTTGACAGTTTGTGTCGTTAAAACTTCTAAAACCGCGCGAAGTTGACCGGGTAAGTTTTTTTTTTTTTCTAATCGAAGAGCCGGAAATCAATCGTGAATTCGATATAAAACATACGAAGCAAAAATAGAGCTACACTCGTTACACGCACACACACACACACACACACACACACACACACACACACACACACACACATTGTAATTATCGAAGTGAAACCAAATGTCAATACTCACCGAGTGAATAAATTGAAAAAAAAAAAACCGTCGATATACACCAAGACACTCGATTCCTGCCGCACTATTTGTACGATTCGAAACACTGGTTTACTGATATATATCAATCGGAGTCACCACGGGGGGGTAAGTTTATACAAAAAAAAAAAAAATGCGCGCTCGACCAGAAAGACAGACGCGCGCGAATCGACGACGGCTGCAGTAGGTAAGGCACGCGCGGCAAGACTGCTGCTGCGAGGCTGCTGCCCGCGTGTCCAGCGCCGAAACCCGCGCGCACGACTGCAGCTGCACATCGTTGCGGAGCGCGCGATATAAATACAAGCATATAGTCTGCTGCTGCGCGTTCGATATACGCACTGTGCGGCGTGCGGTGCATTACGAGTATATATATAGGTTTCGGACTCGCCGCGCATATAATCATTATGGAACGGACGAAAAAGCTTCGGGGGGCTGCAGAGCGCATAAAATCGAAGCCGATGTATGTCTTTACGGGCGATCGCGCGATCGACCGTTATAATCCTGGAGTAGGTGGTATTTTTGACGCGAACATTACAAATCGCGCGGGGAGTATAACGCGAGCCCTTATATACCGATCTGTATCTTCTTACCTCTTGCTCTTTCTTTCTCGCTGCGGCGCACGACTCCCCGTACACACACGTACGCACACGTACCGACTTATACGCTCGCATAGCCGAACCTAAATTTACGCGCCAAACAATTTAGCCGCAATAGAGAGCTCGCGCGTTTCCGTGTGTAAGCTCCACGGTATATTACGTAAGCTATTTCGGTCGGCTGTACGTACTACCCTATATTATACGAGAGACCGACTAGACGCATTTACGCGCGCGCGCGAGCGTGTGTAAATCGAGCCGCGCAAGCTGCACCATAATAGCGTTGCGAGCTTCGGCATTGTCTTTCGCTCGCGAGCTCATGTTGATCTCGGGAACGAATCTCGAGCGTCGAGGCTCGAGCTTGCAGCGATGCGACTCCATTCTCGAAGAATCGAGAATCGCTTATCGGTCGTCGTCGCCCTGGGGTCACCGAACGCCAAGAGGTGTAAACGACAAAAAAATATCGTACAGAAATGCGAATCGGAACGTTTGCGAGCTTTTCCTCCTTTTTTCGCGCGCACAAACTCGATCGTATATATACCTATATAGCTAGACGCCCAAAAATAGTCGCTATATCGCCAGATACACTCGACGACGCGTATATACAACATATATATTTAAGTATGTTGTGTCGGTCGGTGTCCGATACCCGCGCTCTCGGCTTACACACGTATAATGATCGTGCATCGTGCGCGTATATTTACTCGACGAATTCGATGCGTTTTATTTTGCAGTGGGAGAGAGAGAGAGAGAGAAAGATTCAGCTAAAAAGAGAGGGAGCTTTCGCAGACGGTATAATATACGCACTTTCGTTGACGCGTATCGCGCGCTGCAGCGCAGAGAGAGAGTGCCGAGAGCCCCCGAAAAGCGCCAGACTTATATACACGCACGAGTCGTCCGGCTGCAGCTGAACTTCCTACTTTTTTCGATCTACTTTCGCGTATATATACGTATACATCCATAGCCGACGAAGGCGACGACGCGTTATTTTCGCGTTAGCACCAAGCCCCGCGTATAGTCGATATAGCTGTAGTATATATAACAGCAGTCGATTCGACCAACGTGCGCGCCTGGTAGTACGACGCGTCCGCGTACGCGATCGTGTATATGAAATATTTTTTTTTTTTTCGACTCCATAATTCGACCTAAAAAAGCCAAACTTTTTCATATTTAGCTACTGTTATTATAGCATTTCCTCGTACGCCGAACCATATATCAAACAAAACTTTTCGCTTCCTCTCTTCTCTCCCTTCTCGATTTTCGGCGTTCGGCGTTTCTGCGGTATAGTGCCCTATACATATATAAATCGAGTATGTGTGTGCGTGTGTGAGTGTGTGTGTGTGTGTGTGTGTTGGTCTATAAGCTACTCGTGAAATAAAAGTGAAATAGTCATTCGAGCGCTGCCATACGTGCTTGCAAGTCCAAGCCTACTCCACGACGACGACGACCATAAAATTTGCAATATAGTCGTCGTGTATGAAAATTGAAATGAAATTATTGTAGCATTTTGAATGTGTAATTTTTTAAGCTTGTGTCTTGATCAGTGCATTTAATAGTGTATAATAATCGAGGAATTTCTCTCACTGGTAGTTTTGGTGCAATAAGTGTGTGTGAATAACTTGTGCTTCGTCTTTCATTCCACGTCTGCCTGTCCAAAAACTTTTTTTACCAACGCTCGATCATAATGCATATTTGGTACGTTAGAAAAAAGAACGAACAATACTTTGACATACTTTGACAAACTTTCAAAGTTATCCCACACTTTAGCCCCAACCAAAAATATGTAATTTCCATTTTACCAATGCACGAGCTTGCAAGAGCTTGCAGTCTGCAAGCTCTGCACCCCATTGCGCGTATATATAATATATACGCGATAAAAAATCAAACGCGTTACACCAAAAAGTCGAAGCTTATTTGAGTTGTGAGCCGAGGCGGCGATCATCATCGAGGTACGCGTGCGACAAATTTTTGGCCGGGCTCCCCTCCCGTACGGCTGCGTCACTCTATATAGAAGATCAAGCGCGTGTTCTATTTAAAAACTGACCACAGAGTATAGTATACATCTATACATCTATACATAATTTTCCCTTACATTTCGCCGTACATAACTGTATTTGTTAGAAAAAAAAATGTTTACGCTCGCACGTTTCTGAACGTTTATATAGAATTATCAGCTCTCATAAATATTATTTTATACGTCTTAAATATTACTCATTGCTTGTGGGTTTTTTATACAAATATAGCTTCGGGAAAAAGTTTGTTTATGTACAAATTTCCTTTCCGTTTATCATAGGAAAATGTACGTCACTGGACTCGATTCATTGGGCAAGTCGTTCATCTCGTTTATGAATTTATAGTCGATCGAACGTACGTGAGCTTTTTTCTATAGTGCAACAGAAACAAGACAATATAATAATAACAATAAGAGAATTGAACTTGAGAATTAAAAATAAATGAATTCGTAACGACTCCGAGAAAAACAGCAGCAGGAGCCAGCTAAGCGACAAGCTTTGCTAATACAATGTTACATTATACATGGACGATCGGCAGCGATATAGCTCCGATCTTCGCGCCACAGATATATACACAATACATCGGCCGATACATCTATAGAAAAAGTATACAAGACCCGAGTCTTTGACAAGCAGCTTTCAAAGCTCTTGTATTATTCGATCGACGACGCGGTGCGACACAGGCGCGACCGACACGGCTTGTGTGCCATTCGAATAGACATCGAAATAGAAACCTGTCAAATTTCGTAACTCTCTCTCTCTCGGTTTGTCTATGATATTTTTGTTCGCTCGCACATACACACATTAACACGCACAGACATTCGCGCTAGAACGTCTCGACGAAGCAAATTTTCTATAGCTATATAACGTGGGTTATATATACAAGAACGATGATGATGATGATGATGATTCCCGGTACACGTGGAGAGCTCAAAGCGAACATTGTCAACTCGGGCGAAAAATATTAAGATCGTTCAATTAGTTTATACCGTTTCCTTTATACGTAATAATAATGCATGCCCTAACGAAAATTATCGTGAAAAAAACTATACTTAAAGATCTAAAATTTGAATACATTTTTCGTCCTTAATTTTCAGGTCCGCATGATTTGCCGAAAGCTCGGACATAAAGTTGCCGATACGCTCACAGTCTCGAAAGCACAGTCTTGCATTTGGATTCTATATACACGAAGCATTGCACACACACATACAAATTCAGAGTATGCCGTCGCACAAGTGTCGTGCGCCGTGAACGAGCGACGCGGGGCATGCGCAGCGCACACGTTGCAGCTTGCAAGCTCGAGTTGGTCGTTGGAGCTGCGCGCACACAGGCACACACGGTAAAGCTGCAAAAAGCTGCGCGCACAGCACTACTCGCTGTGTGCATGAACTCGAATAGCCAAAGCAGCCGCAGCCAGAGCAGAAGAAGAAGCAGAAGAAGAGAAGCAGCAGCAGCAGCGGTAGCAGCAGTTAGTGGCCGGGATCCGTGAGCCTCAGAGCTCGATGCGGCGGCGCGGCAGCTCTCGCGAAAGGGACAAAAGTGCAGTGCAGTGAGGCAGTGTGAGCAGCAGGAGGGCAGCGGCCGATAATCAACACATCATGTTTCCCGGCACGTGACGATGATGATACTGCTACTACTAATACCACTGGACTGTTGTACGGGCCGCCACTCCGGTTTTATGCGCGAGTGAAATTATTTTATTTTATTTTTTATCTCCCCGCAATTATATATATATATATAAGTGCAAATTTTGTCGAGTGTCGGTTGGTGCGTGTGTAAAAGTGATTGAAGGAGAAAGAAGAGAGTAAATTAGAAAAAGGAGAAAGCAAAAAAAAAAAGCACCAACGAATACAGACTCAGGAGTGGCGGTGTGTCTCTCCGTGAGAGATCGAGGTAGCACTCGAAGAAGAAGAAGGAGAGGAACAAAGAAAAACAACGACGAAACGAAAAAGAAATAGATAAAGCAACGGAGTTGTCACGTCTGGGGAAGCTTAGGAGCCTCCGAGGATGGCGGACAGCGAGGGTGGCTCCGAGCAGGATGATGTCTCGTTCCTTCGCACGGTCAGTTGTTCAATTCATTAGTTCTTTTTAAAATTATTTTTAGTTTTGATTCTCTATAATAAGTCGCATTATATAGTTGCACGTGGGCCGATGCATATATATGTCGATCGATGCGGCATTGAAAATCACAATTAGTCGAAGGTATCGATATTGTACACACACTTGCGCATATATTAATAGCCTCTCTCTCTCTCAAGATATACTGATATTTTATATTATCATCGTGCACTGCTGTCGCCTTGTATATTGCTATAGGCTCTCCTACTACTCCTCTCGGATTATTGTTTTGTCTATAATTATACACGCGCAGTGCAACCCGAGTTGTTGCCGTCGACGTCGACGATGCATCGACATTCGGTTACAGCCGTTAATCGTGCACCGCATAGGGTGCCTATATAGTTTAAGCAATATAGAGACCACGAGAACCAAAAAAATAACGCAAAAAGCACAACGCGCCTGTGGCCCTCCTCTGCACGCATCGCGTGTCGAAAGCAGCCAGCTCTCTTGCCACTCGATGAAATGTCAATAACTAATATCGCGCGCGCGCGCGCGAATTTTAATTATAGTATTCGAGACGAGGCTCGCGACGCAGTCGGCGAATAATAAAGCGGCGAGGCACGACGACGACGAGGAATGCGCGCCCGCCCACCCGCCGCCGGCTTTTTCGGAGAGGCGAGAAAACACGATACGCTAACGCACGGATTACGTTGATTGCACGAAATACGCGTAAAGTTGTTCGTTCGTCGAAAGTTCGTCGTCTTCCTTGATCGCGGGACTCGGCGCGCTGCTCGTCGAACGACGCGGAGTTTTATTTCCTTGCCGATCAGGGTTGCATTTTCGCGGAATGAATCACTCGCATCCCGTTCCGCTCCCCAACATTTTTTTTATCATCATCGTCATCGCGCGTGCACCAACTCCACGCGCGTCGTCCGTCGTCGGTATATATATAATGTAAGGGTACGATACGAAAGTCGAGCAGCAGAGAGCGATATTTCATTGGATAAAGGCCAAAAGTACGCGTAATAATTCAATGAAGGCGTATACGCGACAGTGTATTCGACGTTGCAAAAGTTGTTGCACCGCGATGATCGTATTGTTATGAAAAAAAAAAATTGTTTCTCTCTCCCGCGAAACGTCGCACTCGATGAAAAAGTAATAAAAGCGCAACGATGTAAAGGCGTCGGAAGTACTACTGTTTTTAATGGAAAAAGTCGATCTCTCCGCTCGTACATACGAACGATGCTGCATCGTTATAAAAGCTGAATCTTCGTTTTATAAAAGATGAATGAACTGCACTCGGGGAAACAAAGTTGCCAGTTGATCCTTTGCGCGCTCTCTCTCTCCCTCTCCCTCGCAGCCGAGGCGAGCCGAAGTTTTTTTCTGTATCTCGTGTACACGAGTGCGGCTGATTAGATGCCGTGTCGCGCAGAGAGAAGCTCTACAAACGCCCAGCTATAGCGCTGCGAAAGCTCCAACTGCCATGTACCATCGGTTCGTTCAACGCGTGTCGCGTGCGAAAATTACTCGTGTCGGAGCTCGCGGAAGATGATTCTGAAAAACGAAACGAAATGCAAGGATCGATTTTTAATTTCGAGAGAACGTGCGCGATGCGATTGGGCGTCGCGCGTTGCGTAATGTATGCATAAGCGTGTGCGCAAGCGAGAGAGAGACAGAGTGCGTGAAGCGATCATAGTTCAAAATTCGTTAGAGCGACGATTTTCCCGTGGCGGAAACTCGTGGCGTACAGCAGCAAAGCTCCGCAAGCCTGCCTGCCTGCCTGACTACACACGAGTGCGACAAGTGCAGCCTCGTTTTCTGGTTTATTTATAAAACCGGCGACTTTCGCCGCTTACTCTTTTAAGCTCTCTCTCTCTCTCTCGCTCGGACGTGTAGCAGCGCTTTGCAATAGAGCTTTGTTTTACGTAACGTACATGTGTGTATGCGGGCACGACGATGTCTCGTCTGGCTTTCCCGCGATTATTTACTCACTTTTCTCTTTCTTTCTCTCTCTTCTCTCTTTCTATTGGGGTAATATATCCACACAGCCATATAAATATGTACGTATGCGTAGGCTGTCTCTTTTCTTTCTAAGAGCTGCAGCTCTTGGGCTTGCGTCGCCTGTTGCTGCTCTCGCTGTGCTGCTGCTGCTGCTGCTCCGACTTCCAATTCTCGATGCCGGCGCGCAGGGCGATCCTCCTCTTGCGCCAGTCGGTCATGCGCGACCATTGACGCGCGGCCTGACGCGCCACGTCGGCCACTCGTCGCCGCGGCCTGCGAGAGTACATGCTCAGGAAGAACGCGATGAACGGATTCTTCGTTTTTCGCCTCGGCTTCTCTTGCGGATTTGTACTTTCCGTCGAGTCGTCGTTGTCGACGTTGTTCCTGCGAGACGACGATCGAGTTTTTTTTTTTTTTTTTGTTCCGCGATATCCGTTCGATGAATCATCGTAACTCACTCGACCCGCGGCCGAGCTTCCGCTTCGAGAGCTCGCGGTGACTGCTCGATGTCGCCAGCTCGATCGATTCGATTCGGGTCCTCCGCGGGGGGAGGTCCGGGAGTTTTCGGGCGCTCCAGAAGCCGAAAGTGATCGCGAAAGGGCAGCGCGATCGGCTTATCGGACTGCGTCTGCATCGGCTCGTCGGGCAGCTGTGGATTCCATTGTATTTCCGGCACGAGTATGGGATAATCCGTCGACCAGATTTCACCGCTCGGGTCTTGATCCTCGAATTCTTTGAAACTTTTTCGATGGATCTTAGACGTACGTAATTTCTGTCGTGCATACAATAGGTTATATACCTGTACTGCTCCGTTTCGTTTTCGATAATTTCCACATCGGTGTTTATGACGTTATTTCGCGAATAATTCATGATAACGATGCATCCGTACGCGAGGGCGATATATCTCGACTCTTATCGATGTACACACCCCTCGTCGTCGACACTTGATAATTTTGCTCGCGAACAACGACAAAAAGATAATAACAACAAACAAACCTTATACGCCGAGATGAACGCGGGTAGTACACGACTCGAATGACAATTGCTCGAACATAACCGCGTGTAATGGCATCGATCGTGTATTGTTTACCGCATATGTGCGCGGAAAAGCTCGCCGCGACTCGTCACGTCGACCTCGCGTCAAGCGTCTCGGGCAATGCCAAAAATTACTTCGCTAAATATTTTGCGCACAAAGTAGCCTGTGGCAGCATTATAATATTGCACATATTTCGAAGGAATGTTCATTTGCGAGGCTTTATATATTGTCCCGAGCTTGCGCAATTTAACACGCCGCCACCGCACGTGCGGTAGCGTAAAACGACCGCGGCGACGAGAGACAAGAAAGAGAGCGAGAGAGAGAGTCGGAAGCTCGCGTAGGTATTCATCGACAACGCGAAAATTTTAAAAATAAACGAGTCGCGAGCTTTGGGTCAAGCTCTCTCTCCCTTTTTTTGTTTCGTTCTTTTTTGTTCACTCGTTATCTCTCTCTCTCTCTCTGTCTCTCTGTACGCTTAAGTGAGCTTATTTTCAGCTCGTAGCTTGTTCGCGGGGGTGGTATAGTGTGTATACACACGGAGATTTTATTAATAGCCCCGCGCACCCATCTCGTGTTATTTTATAATACGGCTCTACCGCGGTTGAGTTTTAATAATATAATGCCCGCCTAGTGAGACACTTAATTTTGGGTATGCGCGCGCGGGAGTGCAGATTCTCGACTCCTTAACAGACACGCGAGAGCGAAATCGTCTCGGTAATGGCAATAAAATGTCGCTAAAGGCTGCGTAAGCTACGAGCAGCTCGCATCTCGCTTCATATTATTACGAAGACGTTATTCGCTCTCGCGAGCGCGAGTCAACAGGTGCGCGATTTGCCGTGCTGCGCACATTATATATATATGCGGTACACGATTCGACTGCGTGCAATAAACATAATTCATGCTGCTTCCGTGTGGCGAATTTTCGTACGATAAAGCTCTGGCCTTGACCCGTTTTGCGGATGCTGCGCGAGTATCGTGAATATCGAATTTTCCGCTTGAATCGATTTCGTTTACGTATTATTCAACACCATGCAGGGTGCGAAAGGCCTTTACTCCCTTAGATTTTCCGTTCTCTCTCTCTCTCTCTCTCTGACATACATCGTATACTCCGTGACGATGCGTTATAATTACGAGTAAAGTAAGTCTAAAACCGCATCTCGTGCAAAATCCATTAAATCGATTGGACGTCGGCGAAAGTGGATGACCTTTGGTTTATGCAATGAAAAAGAAACCGATTCGACACTTGGGAGCCGATCGACGGCGTACAGTACCAAACACGCGAACTTTGAAATTCGTATTACAGATTTTATCGCGCCTCGGCATGGATAGAAAAATTGATTTCGCATTCAAAGGCGTATTCACACGAGCAGGAAATAAAACATAGAAATCGCGCGCGAGGCGAAAGAAAATCCCGTATTTCCGGATAAATTATTCTCTTTCCTCGCTACGCTACGCTCGGCGCTTTACAGCAAGCTCTTTTGATTCGTGCCAAATGCAGATCGCGCGAGCATCAAATTGCATTATGCACCAGCACGTATAGGTGTGTGTGTGTACACAAGCCTGCCTGCCTTCCCCAGGGGAACCCGATCGCGGGGTGGAGAAATAAAAAAGCTCGGAGCGCGCGCATCCGATTAAAGGTCGTCGTCGTGTAAATTGAACGCTGTGTTTACCCGTACCCGTGTTTCGTGCGTGCGTAAACGCACCTCGCGTCTCGTGCTCTAGCTATATACTATAATCATATACGATATACATAATAGCCCCAGATGCCCCAGATAGCGCAGCGAGGTAGAGTTGCGTTATCGCGCCTCGAGCTATGTGTAACGCGTCGTTGTACACCCTGACCTTGGCATCCGCTGCGCCGAGCTTCGGCTATTATATATGCATGTACATATATAGGTATATATACTCGATACACCTTGTACCCGTGCGTATCCTAGCCGGGCAGGGCAGACATGAATGAACTCTTGACACTTACGCGGACTGCGGCATATAAATTAAATATTATACACGGTAGAGATGGCAAGAGCGAAATTTATGCCTTCAAAATTTTCAAGAATTCATACATTTTTCGGGTGGGAAATTTTTGCCACGTATCGGGACGCGCTCGCGAGCTCGATCTACAGCGACACGGGTATACTGTATACAGTACCAGTCAAAAGCTCGAAATAAATGCTGTCTCGAGTCTCGCAAAATTAATGCCTACCACCCCCTACACACATAGCGCACGTGAGCTGTATATGTACTCGGCGGAAGGGTTGTAATTTATGACCCGCGTTGGCTTTTATTATTCTACCTTCGATAGCTTTGCGGTGCTTGCTCGTAAGCTCGTGTGTGTGTGTGTGTGTGTGTGTGTATAAGCTCTATCCGTGCGAGCTTAACGTATGCGCGTGTGCGAGTATACATGCTAATTTGGTTTACGAACGACCTCAAGAGAGTCGAGAAAGAGAGAGACAATATCGGCATTCACTTTGTTATACGCTGCTGCTGCTTCGTATAATAAAAGGCTCGCGCAATACGATACGTGCGAATAACTATCTATATATACGAGATACTTTATATATATGCGAATAACGAAAAGTTATACGCGCGCGGGCGAGCGAAGCTGCTGCTGGGCATGCACACGGCATATTTCGTCGTGTTCGCAGCATTGGCGAGCTTTTAAGCGAGGCGTTTTCGAGCGTACGTATCGATTTTAACAATATATATATATACACGGAGCGAAACTCGCGCGACATACACGACGAAATTGAAATTTATGAAATATCCAGCTGGTCAAATTTATTCCGTTTTCCGCCTGCAAAAAGCTCTCTCGGCTCAAAAATCATGTATGCTTTGCTGCAAGCTCGCATAGTTCATCAAAGGTCATGCATATGCACGTATACGCTAGAGCAGCGGAGCTTTTTAAGAGCGAGAGCGGTCACACACGTACGTCTCTCTCTCTCTCTCTCTCTCTCTCTCTCTCCTCGTTGTCTCCCCGCTACTGCTATGTAGCGTTCATTATAAAGCGCGCTTGGCACGTGTCGCGCGCCCGAGCACAGGTAGCTCTTGGCCCAAATAATCGCGCGCACAGTACGTAGCGCAATGGCGTGTATATAGACATGACGACTCTTTTGAATAATGACTTCGAAGAACGAGAAAAAATTATAACGACGATAATAAGGATGATAATTATTACGATTACAGGAAGACATGGTGTGTCTTTCGTGCACGGCCACCGGGGAGCGAGTCTGTCTGGCTGCCGAGGGCTTCGGCAATCGGCACTGCTTCCTCGAGAACATCGCCGACAAAGTAGGTTCATCATCATCATCGATTACTAAATATTTTCAGAGAGAAAAAAATGAATGATTTCATGGAAAAACTTTGCATCCTTAGAACATACCGCCGGACCTGTCGCAATGCGTCTTCGTTATCGAGCAGGCGCTGTCCGTGAGGGCACTGCAGGAGCTCGTCACAGCCGCCGGATCCGAAACGGTAATTAATGCGCCGCGAGCGGATCGCTCGTACTGCACACAGACACGATCACACTGCGACACGGACGACGATAATCGACGCCCTCGTAACTATAACACGAAAGCTCTGATAAACGTATGTAATCGTTATCGCGTGCTTGTACGCGGGAGAGGAGCTGCGAAATTATGGATTTTCCGGCTTCTCTCTTCGAGTTTTTTTTTCTTCTTTTTTTCTACAATCGTGATATTGACTATATTTACACGAATTTCATTGTACGCGATGCACGATCTTTAACAACGCACTTTTTTGTACACACTTTTGTTCTAGTGCCAGAATATGCGCTCTTGCGTAAAAACATAATCGAAACGAAGCACACACGTATCGCTGGCATCGTTGAAACCTTTTATTTCTTTTTTAAATTGTCGATTAAACCTGCACCAGTAATTTACTTGTTACGAACTAATTCGATATATATGTTGTTGTACACTGTAGCCGTATGAGAGTCCTGCACCAACGAGTGGATCACGTTGTTATTACTTTTATACACACCGCACACGCATTCCGCGAATCGTGAGTTTCGGTTGGAAATACGGCAAAAAATAATTGGCACGAAAATGAATTTAGTAAGTGATAAAAGCTCACCTTACCCGCACACAAGAGAGCATAGTGTATCGCGCGATGGCACACCTGTGCGCTCGAGCTTCTATATAACGTTGCATTGGCCCGGGGCCAGTCAAGGATAGAATGACCTCTCGCTATCGCGTGGATCTCTTTTAGCAGCTAAAAGCATATTGTTATATGCTCGTCTTTTCTTTTTTTTTTTTTTATTTGGTACAGGCGCCGGGCCTCGAATCGATTGAAAAACTTTCCAACCGAAACTCTTGTTCGCCGAAAGCGTAGAATATTTGATCGATCGAATTCCGCATGTGTACATAAAAAATCAGACGATGAAATACGCTGTTTCTTTTTTCACTCTCTTACCATCCCGTTGTAAATATTTTAATTTTAACGTTATAGATGTTTTGCCGATTTTACACCTGTTTCTTCATTTACTTTGCATCACATAGTTTTACTACTCATTGTTAGTTTTATTATCTCTTTGTACATATTTTCCCCGTTTCTGGCTCACAATTATGTTTATACCCATCTCTGTGTTTTTCTTTGTTTTTGCAGCAGCAAGAAAGTTTAGTAAGTACTTTTACGTATACGAATCAAGGATAGCAGCTCTCTGTTACGCCCGATAAGTTTTTATTTTATTATTTTTTTTTTTCTCTTAATTTTAATTCTATCAAGCTTCTTCGATTCATGTACGTTCATATACCAGTATGTGCTTCGTAAAATAATAACAATTTCTTTTCTTTTTTTTTTTTTTATATAATAACACCTGTTTACCCCATAGAATATAAGCGATGACTAAAACTTCGATTACAATGGGCTTTCGTTTATAACCATCTCATGTGTGGCTCTTATACGTATGATCGCTTTTTCACTTGTGAATAAAAGTCGATTTGTGGTACGACGAAAACTTTTATACAGATAAGCATTGAAAATAATCTCATCCGTAAGCTGAAGTAGACTAATCCTTTGAAAAGTTTATGGTTCCTTTTCCGAAACAATTTTGCAATACGTTTTGTATGGAAATACGATTGAAGGGAGAAAATTGTCTGAGCTTGCAGTTCCCGACTACCGCCGTGGACGTATACTTAAACTGTGAAATTTTACCCAATTGCAGGGAAAAGGCACCGGTTCCGGACACAGAACGCTGCTCTATGGCAATGCCATACTACTTCGTCATCTCAACAGCGACATGGTATGACGAGCAACGATCCGCGAAAGAAATCATCATCCGCATTGAATCCATACTTATTTTGTCTTTCTTCGTTCGCAGTACCTCGCGTGCTTATCGACGAGTTCGTCGAACGACAAATTGGCCTTCGACGTCGGTCTACAGGAGCACTCGCAGGGCGAGGCCTGCTGGTGGACCGTGCACCCGGCGTCCAAGCAAAGATCCGAGGGTGAAAAAGTGCGAGTCGGCGACGACCTCATCTTGGTGTCGGTCGCCACCGAGAGATACTTGGTAAGCGTATTAAAAAGAGACGCGTGAAATTAGAACGTATATTAAACTGATCGATTTGATTATTTTTTTTTTTTTTTTCAGCATACAACGAAAGAAAACGACCTGTCGGTGGTCAACGCCTCGTTTCACGTGACCCACTGGTCGGTGCAGCCCTACGGCACCGGCATCAGTCGCATGAAGTACGTCGGCTACGTGTTCGGCGGCGACGTGCTGCGATTCTTCCACGGCGGCGACGAGTGCCTCACGATACCGTCCACCTGGAGCGACGCGCCTGGACAAAAGTAAGTCACTCGCCCGAGTTCGAGGTTGGAAATTATTAAACAACTTTTTAATAACGACGTCGAAATATCGCAGCTTGGTCATTTACGAGGGCGGAAGCGTAATGAGCCAGGCGAGATCGCTGTGGCGCTTGGAGCTGGCCAGAACCAAGTGGGCCGGCGGATTCATCAATTGGCTGCATCCCATGAGGATCAGGCATCTCACCACCGGCCGCTATCTCGCCGTCAAGGAAAACAACGAACTTTATTTGGTCGACAGGTACGTGCACATTAAATTGATCGATATGCTTCGTAGCATATAATGTGCATAATTAAATACGTAATGTTTCGCCTCTAGAAACGAAGCAACCATCGAGTCGTCCACGTTCTGGTTTCGGCAGGAAAAGGACGATCAGAAAATCGTCCTCGAGGACAAGGATCTCGAGGTCATCGGTACGGCCATCATCAAGTACGGCGACTCGACCGTCATCATGCAGCATGCCACCACGTGCCTATGGGTTTCGTACAAGGTAAGAGAGCGCGAGTTTATAATTCAGCTCATTCGATTATTCTTTTTTCTAATAAACATCTTTCTCGACTTTCGCATGCTTACTCTAATCTAAACAATTAAATCGAGATCATTTAGAAGCCCAAGCGTAAAAAATTTGAGGCTGCCACGCAGGTACACACGAGTCCAATAGTTTTACACTCTCGAGCACCTTGTATAAATATTGCACTCTTCGTTGAAATTCGTATACTCGTTAAAATGTACTAACTTGGTAAATCATTCACCTCGCAGTCGTACGAGACGAAGAAGAAGGGAGTGGGCAAGGTCGAGGAGAAGCAAGCCGTGCTCCACGAGGAGGGCAAAATGGACGACGGCCTGGACTTTTCGCGCTCGCAGGAGGAAGAGTCGAGGACGGCTCGCGTCATAAGAAAGTGCAGCAGTCTCTTTTCGCAATTCATAAGGTGAGTCGTCGCGCGCGATCGCGTACTTTTGCCTCTTGATCCCGTATTAAATCCCATCGCGCGCGCCTTCTATCTTTGCAGCGGACTGGAGATGCTGCAGGTGGACCGTCGCGCGTCCATGTTCTTCCAGAACATCAATCTCAACGAGATGGTGATGTGCCTCGAGGATCTGATCAACTACTTCGCCCAGCCCGAGGACGACATGGAGCACGAGGAGAAGCAGAATCGCTTCCGCGCCCTGAGAAACCGTCAGGATCTGTTCCAGGAGGAGGGCATACTGAATCTCATCCTCGAGGCGATCGACAAGATCAACGTGATCACGTCGCAGGGTCTGCTGGTCGCTCTGTCGGGCGAAGAGACCGGCCAAGCCTGGGACCAGATCTCCGGCTATCTGTATCAGCTGCTGGCCGCCATAATCAAGGGCAATCACACGAATTGCGCCCAGTTCGCCAACAGCAATCGTCTCAATTGGCTGTTCTCGCGTCTGGGCTCGCAGGCCTCGGGCGAGGGCACGGGCATGCTCGACGTGCTGCACTGCGTCCTCATCGATTCGCCGGAGGCGCTCAACATGATGCGCGACGAGCACATCAAGGTCATCATATCGCTGCTGGAGAAGCACGGCCGCGACCCCAAAGTCCTGGACGTGCTGTGCTCGCTGTGCGTGGGCAACGGTGTCGCCGTGCGCTCGTCCCAGAACAACATCTGCGACTTTCTCCTGCCCGGCAAGAATCTCCTGCTGCAGACTCAGCTGGTCGATCACGTGTCGAGCGTCCGGCCCAACATCTTCGTCGGCCGCGTCGAGGGCTCGTCCCTCTACCAGAAGTGGTACTTCGAGGTCACGGTCGACCACATCGAGCAGACGACGCACATGCCGCCCCACCTGAGGATCGGCTGGGCCAACACGGCGGGCTACACGCCCTATCCGGGCGGCGGCGAGAAGTGGGGCGGCAACGGAGTGGGCGACGATCTCTACTCGTTCGGCTACGACGGCTGCTACCTGTGGACGGGCGGCCGCAAGACCCAGGTGATGGAGCACGAGCGCGTCCCCTACATACAGAAGGGCGACACGATCGGCTGCTCGCTCGATCTCACCGTGCCCATAATCGAGTTCAACTTCAACGGGGTGCCGTGCTTCGGCACCTTCCGCGAGTTCAATCTCGACGGCATGTTCTTCCCCGCGATCAGCTGCTCGTCCAAGGTCTCGTGTCGATTTCTGCTCGGCGGCGATCACGGCAGGCTGAAGTTCGAGCCGCCGCTGGGCTTCTCGCCGCTGGTGGAGAGCCTGCTGCCCCAGCAGATACTGTCGCTCGATCCGTGCTTCTACTTCGGCGACATGAACAAGGTCGTGCTGGCGGGTCCCTGGTTGATGGAGGACGACACGGCCTTCGTGCCCTGTCCCGTCGACACGGCCCTGGTCAATCTACCGCCGCACGTCGATCAGATACGCGACAAGCTCGCCGAGAATCTCCACGAGATGTGGGCCATGAACAAGATCTACGACGGATGGATATACGCGCCCGTCAGGGACGATCTGTTAAAACATCATCCGTGTCTCACCTCGTTCGATCAGCTGTCGCCGGAGGAGCGCAAATACGACTCCCAGCTGGCCACCAACATACTGAAGACCATCCTGGCGCTGGGCTACTACATCACGATGGACAAGCCTCCGGCGAGGATCAAGCAGTTGAGGTTGGCCGGCGACAGATTCGGCCAGAGCAATCGTTACAAACCCGCGCCGCTGGATCTCACGGCGGTCTCGTTGACCGCCAAGATGGAGGAGTTGGTCGACCAGTTGGCCGAAAACACGCACAATCTCTGGGCCAAGGAGAAGATCGCCGAGGGATGGACCTACGGACTGAACGAGGACGACGAGATGAGACGGAGTCCGCATCTGGTGCCCTACTCCAAAGTGGACGAGGCCATCAAGACGGAGAACAGGGCGACGGCCAGTCAGGCCGTGAAGACCCTGTTGGTTTACGGATACATGTTGGATCCGCCGACCGGAGAGCAGCACGAAGGTGAGATTTTGAAATTGATTTTTAACATTTTTGATTTATCATATAGGATACAATAATTACGAATCTATTTTTTTTTTTCCACAAATTGTTGATTGAGAAATAAATGTTAATGATCTTGGAGAGCGAATTAATAAGTAGGCGATGAACGGATCTTGAGTTGACCGTTTTTGTTCGCAAAGAATTTTCAAAAGATAGTCATTAGAGAAAAAATATTTTAGATCATTAAAATTTATTCCTAATTTTTTAATTATATTATATTTAAATTGATAAAAATAATAATAGTATATAGAAATGGTCGATCAGCGATAAACTTGTTTACTACATCAGAGCTTTTTTCTTTTCTCTCCCCTTCTCTCTTATAGAAATGTTGTTCAGTTTAGTTAAGAGCTTGAATTGTATTTCCGCTTATATTTCGGCAGATAGTTGCTTCAGTCTAGATGGCACAGGTACTGTGTGTGGCGCACGAATAAATTACAAGTGACCATAAAATCATCATACGCGTGCAATAAATAAAAATCTCACATTACCAATGTATATTGTACTAATTTCGATATTTATAATCGTCGCGTCATCACACGTGTGTTCGTGTAAGTGTTTGTCATACGCAAAATCAAAAAAACATCACTCATCGTGTTTGACGTTGCAGTCCTGTGTTAAAGTGTCTCTTGTACGAGTGCCAATCACCATCGTTGTAAAATAATCGGATTCTACGAAACTTCTCTCGACGTGTGTACGCACGATTAATTTAATCCCAAACTCGTGTCTCGTTGTTCCATTTAGCCCTGCTGCTCGAGGCGAGCCGTCAGCGTCAATTGCTGTTCCGTACGTATCGCGTGGAGAAGCATTACGCCGTCTCCTCGGGCAAGTGGTACTTCGAGTTCGAGGTGAGGACCGCCGGTCCCATGAGGGTCGGCTGGGCCAAGGCCGACTGCGCGCCCGGCAACATGCTCGGCAACGACGAGAACACCTGGGCTTTCGACGGATACAACGTGAGTACCAATGGATTCGTTTGAATTTTTAACTTGAAAAAAAAAAATCTTTCGAGTCGTTCTCGCGCGCATTCAAAAACGAGAGGAGAAATGTGAACTTGAAGTGTGTAATGCGATGATATAGGTAACGAAAAGTCACTGCGGCTCCAATGAGACTTTCGGCCAAAGGCTGCAAGTCGGCGACGTAGTCGGCTGTTTCATTGACGCCGCCGACAAGACTATCAGTAAGAAAAAAATTCATCATCCGATCAGCCCCTAGAGTTTATCTCTCTATATATATATATCTCTCTCTCTCTCTCAAAGTTCTCACTGACTCTCTATGATAACAAAAAAAAATTGATTATATTATGAACGATGTATTTACTGTGTGATTTTCCCAGCTGTACTGGTGTAATTACTGTGACTGACTTGTATAATACAACTTATTATAATTCAGGATCGGATACTCGCGGGAAAACATATCAATTATTATAATAGAGAAATGTATTTATTTTGAAAACACTTAAAAATATCATGGATGTATGATTCAATTTCAAGGAGGAAAAAGTTTACTCGGGCACATCCGAGTCTTTCGGTAAACAGTGGCAGGTTAACGATGTCGTCGGTGTATTCTTGGATCTTATTGACAAAACCATTAGTAAGCGAGACATACCTTTTCTTTTAAAGCATAGCTTCAAAACTGCGCTATATCGATAATTTCACATTGGCATTTACAAAATCATGCGACTGCGGGATAATCGATTTTATCCAGCATATCGCAAATTCATTATGCGCTGCTTATTTTTACGATTTTTTCTTCATGCAAGGCACAATTCGAGCGACATCATTCATTGTTTTCGTCGATATACATATGGCTACATCTGAAAAGCATTATAGAATAGACCAATAACAAAAAAAAAAAACATGCTAACACGCATCGATTGCACGGCATTGAAATCATCCCATACTTACTAATGGTCATCTCGACTCATTTTGATTTTGCAGTGACGATAATCCATTAATTTTTTCACCGTAATTAACCACATTTTTTTTTGAAATTTAACCGAATTATTCCGATCATTTTTTTACATCAAATTTTTACGAGAGCTTTACAAGCAATTTTTACTCATAATCGAAAATCTGTAAAAAGGTTTCTCCTTGAACGGTGAATTATTGATGGACGCCCTCGGCGGCGAGACGTCGTTCGCCGACGTCCAGGGCGAGGCGTTCGTACCAGCTTTCACGTTGGGTGTCGGCCAGAAGGCAAAGCTTACTTTTGGCCAGGACGTCAACACTCTCAAGTACTTTACCACCTGTGGATTGCAAGAGGGCTACGAGCCTTTCTGCGTGTAAGTATAAATAACGTCTCGTATACGACCGCACCTGCAACGGTTGGATCAATCGTGCACATTTCTGATTTGAAGCAACATGAATCGGCCCGTCACCTTCTGGTACACGAAGGACCAACCGATCTTCGAGAACACGGACGACATGGCCGACACTCGCATCGACGTCGCCCGCATACCCGCCGGCTCCGACACTCCGCCCTGCCTCAAGATCTCGCACAACACCTTCGAGACCATGGAGAAGGCCAACTGGGAATTTCTCCGGCTCTCGCTGCCCATCATCTGCCAGTCGAGCTTCGTCAGCGAGTACGAGAAGGCCCAGCGCTGGCAGGAGATCAAGTCGCGCCAGCAGAGGCTGTACCAGGACCAGCTGGAGGCCGCGGCGGCCCACCCGGGCAGCCCCTCGGCCCAGCAGCAGTCGGCCAACATCGAGCAGATACTGCGCTCGGGCTTCAGCATGAGCGACATCAAAGGAATGACCGGTATGTCGATCGATCGTACGGACATGGCTACTATACGCGAGGAGGAGGCGGGTGATGCATGCGACGGGACAGAATTGACGCGGACGATGGACGAGCGCGATGATCGACGATCCTTAACCGAGGATGATTTTTTGTCCCAAGACTCGATGGACGTGGACGAGGTCATGCGAGAGTCGCCGCTGCCGATGAAGCGGGGCAAGCAGCAGCAGCCGCCGAGACCGCCGAGGCGTGGCTCCATGTCCGGCTCGAAGAATCTCATCGACAGCGACGGAGAGGGCGACGGGACGGACGGCAAGGACGCCGACAAGAAGAAACGCGGCAGGTCGCCCTTCCGGTGAGTTGAAGGATAAATAAAAGCCCATAAGGCTATCGATACTTCTCTATAGACATCTTTACTTAATTTCTCTCTATCTGCGCCTTGCGTATATAATTTAACGTAGAAAAGTAGATGCTTTTAATGATTAAAATACTATTATAATTTTGATTCTTAAAATCTCTTATATGCCGTTGTTCGTATAGCCGCCCTAGCGAAGAGATGGAGCTTATTATCACTGAGTAAGTCGATGCATTCCGACGTCCGCCACACCCCCTCTCAGACCATCTGAAATTTCCCGTGTTTATCGTAACGTCCTTCATTCTTATATACATCCATTTTTCTTGTAAAATAGTCACACGTTCACAGGCGTTTCGCCGTCAACTACTATCCTGTCAATGGTATTGCGTTTTCATTTGCCAATTGTATCTCTATATTATCACTGTATGGCAGCAAAGTGTTATAATTGGTGTGGTCAATGTCATGTACGTCGTCTCATCCGTCACAAGATTTTTTGTGTAAATTTGATTAATCGCTCATCATATATAGCGACGCAACTTTATATTCTTCATTGTCTTATAGCTCTGTTTTGGTTATTCTTTCTGTGTTTTTAAGGGACTATTACCAGTTGAAGAAAAATAAAAAAAGCTATTTTCGGTATTTCTTTCTCAACTACTTTATTAAATATTAACATGATATTTCTTACTAGAAGTTAAGGGTAAATGAAATCATTCAATAACATTGTTTTTTTTTTATTTTTCAGTTATGTTACTCGGGCCGCGCTAGAACAACTGTAACGTACCAGAATTTTTTTTCTTTTTCTTATTCTTTATTATTTACAATCTGTCAGGTAAATAGTTTGAGCGTAACTTATATATGAAATACTGGAGTCAGGTAGGTGAGCCAATGACAACCGGTCAGTTTTTAATAAAGTTAGATGCACAAACATACAAAATGTTGGAAGTCGGACATTTTTTTTCAAAATAACTGATTTTTAGTTCCTCTATCGTCACATACTTATTGCAATTTTTCTTTTTTCTGTAATTTTTTGGTATATTACCGTGTCGTATGTTTTAATGAAGAAGTGTGTATAATTTGGTAAGGATCGGACGAGTATATCCGGAAATCAACTGCCCACCATGCAAAAAAACATCATTACAAAATGAATGTGTTCAAAGTTTTGTTTTTGACTTACTAAATCCGAATTTCTGCACCAAATTTTAGAATGTGGTTCTCGGAAGTATACAAAAATGCAATAAAAAAAAAGAAGATTTTTCAAAAAGTTAAACTGGTAATGGTCACTTAAGAATTTGTGATATTGATCTCAGTGAGTACCAGAAAAACTGGTGAAACTGTCACGTTTATTTTCTTTTCTTCTTCTTTTTTTTTTTAATTACACTTGAGCTAACGACAGTACTACAACTATCTTTGATTCGCGTTTCAGTTTCTTCTCCCGAAAGGACAAAGCAAAAGCACGAACTCCGGAGCCACTGGCGCGCGGCGAAACCGAGAGAATCGCCAGACCGGCGCCGGTCGCGAGCAAAGGACCGAGATCGGCGACGGTCCGCGCGCAGGAAACGACACCGTTGACGGTATGGCGTCGGTCGCGAAATGTTCACCGCGAGAAAAGACGGATCGATAATTGTCACGCTCGTGTTACAGCCCGAGATGAAAATCGTGCCACCCGCCATCCCCGAGCGAAGCGCGCCCAAGAACATGTCGGTGAATCTGTCGGGCTCGGGGGTCGAGTCGATCGGCAACGAGATCTACGACGCCGAGTGCCTCAAGCTCATGAACGAGTACTTTTACGGCGTGCGCATATTCCCCGGACAGGACCCGACCCACGTCTACGTCGGCTGGGTGACGTCGCAGTACCACTTGCACTCGAAGGAGTTCAACCTGTCGAAGGTCCGCAAAGCGTCGGTCAGCGTTATAAGCCACGAGGGCGTATTGATCGAAGAGTAAGTACACAAATTGATTTGATTAGTTGAACCAAAATTAAACCACAAGCAGTCGATGAACTAGTAAACTTATATAAAAATATACTGTTAGCCACTTGCGAGTTTCGATAAATTCATGTAATACGCTACCTGTTGTCAGTGTATGAAATTAAAAATTTACTCGTAACTATTCAGAAATCTTTTTGAAAGTTTCGTAGAATATTTCGGAAGGCTCACATGGAAAGCTTCCCAAAAGCCTCCCAAGAGTTTCTACGAAGGTTCCTGTATTCGTTCATTGATGCTTCTAGAATGGTTTCATGAAAGCTTCTCTAGAAGTTCCAGGCAAGCTTCCTGAAACTTTTGATAAAACCTACGAAAAATATTTTCTGAAATTTTCCCTGCAATCTTTCCGGAAACTTTCCGAAAGTCTAACGGCAAGTTTCCGTGCTACGTGGGAAGATAATTTTACTTTGAGATCTTCGTTGAAAATCAATTTATTAGTACTGATTATAAAATGACATAAAAATGTATAATTACATAAATTATTTTTAATGAAATAGTGGACAAAAATCATTCTAATTTTATTCTCAAATTAAAAGATTTCGATTGAAAATTAATATGTTAATACTTCGATCAAAACATAATACTAATTTGTTTTTGAGTCCATTGCTCAAAAAAGTTGTGAAAATTCAATCAAAATTGATCTCAGTCTTCACCACTAGATGTTGAGTTTCATCACATGCAAATCTGCAAGTGGTAAAGTATATATAATTGTGTAAGTCGAGGCAGGTTTATGAAAAAAGCTTACATCTATTAATGCTTTGATGTTGGTGTCCCATCAGTTTAAATGCTTTTACATGAATTTGAGCGATCTATCTAAAGAAAAAAGACTTTCTCCACCTTAACAATCGATTTCAATGTATAAATATTTTAACGATGTACATTAATTAACGATATCGTTGATTCGACAGGGTAAATCGCCAGAGCTGCTACATGGTGCGAGCCGACGAGCTGTACAACGAGGTGACCCAAGACGCGTCGGGCAAAGGCGCCAGCCAGGGTATGTTCATCGGCTGCTTCGTCGACACGGCCACGGGTCTGGTCTCCTTCACCTGCGAGGGCAAAGAAACTTCCCGCAAATTCGTCATGGAGCCCGACACCAAACTCTTCCCGGCGATCTTCGTCGAGGCCACCAGCAAAGAGATCCTGCAGATCGAGCTCGGCCGCACCTCGACCACGCTGCCGCTGTCGGCGGCCGTGCTTCAGTCCTCGGAGCGACACGTGATACCGCAATTCCCGCCGAGGCTGAAGGTGCAGTGCCTGAAGGCCCACCAGTGGGCCAGGGTGCCGAATCAGTCGCTACAGATACACGCCCTGAAGCTGTCCGACATCAGGGGCTGGTCGATGCTGTGCGAGGACGCCGTGTCCATGCTGGCGCTGCACATACCCGAGGAGGACAGGTGCATAGATATTCTGGAGCTCATCGAGATGGACAAGATGCTTAGGTACGTTTGAAAAGAAAAACCTTAAATTTAATGTAGATCTTGAATAAATTACATAAAAAATAAATGTAAAAAAATAGAACAGTATAGTTGAATAAAAAAATTATGAAAATTACATCAGCATTAAAGTCAGCCTTCGCCGCTAGATGGCGAGTGCAATTTTTCTGTAAATCTGCAAGTGCCAAAGTGAAAATAATTGTATAAGCAAAGCAGATTTTACGATTGAGTTGTGATTGTTAAATTACTACCTGCAATTTTTCTAGTTTCCATTCGCACACTTTGACCCTCTACGCCGCTCTGTGCTATCAATCGAATTATCGAGCGGCCCACGCGCTCTGCCAGCACGTCGATCAGAAGCAACTGCTCTACGCCATCCGGGCCGAATACATGTCGGGCCCGCTGAGGCAAGGATTTTACGATCTGCTCATATCGCTTCATTTGGAGTCCCACGCGACGACCATGGAGGTCTGCAAGAACGAGTACATCATCCCGTTAGGTAACGACTCGATAATGGATTTCAATATTTTATTTATACCGCGGACTGACGGACTGAATTTTTTGTCATTATTGAATCGTCGAATACACCATCTGTAAACAATTTTTTTTTCTTTTTTTCTTAAACTCCACTCAGGTCAAGAGCTGAAAGATTTGTACGAGCAGGACGAGATGCGTCACAGCTTGAGATATCTCGAAACCGAGTCCGTAAGACCGCAAATGAAAATGAGCGACATCAGGTAACTTAATTTTTCTGATTAACAAGTATTGCATGCGACCTTTTTTTTAATCCAACGATGTCCCACATCAATAAGGATAATTCCTTTCAGCGAGACGCAGAGCATAGAGAACATAAAAAATCTCTACAGTCCGTTCTTCCCCTTGAGCGTAGTCCGAGATTACGTGATGATGGCACTCAACGAAGCCGTGGAAATTAATCAAGTGCACAACAGAGATCCGATCGGTGGCAGCAACGAAAATCTATTCTTGTGAGTATATTGCACGATTTTTTTGATGGCAGTTAAAATTAATAAAATACAATCAATAATTAATGTTCTCGATTGCAGGCCACTGATAAAACTCGTAGACCGACTACTTCTAGTTGGTATGCTGAGAAACGACGACGTACAAAAATTGCTCGTTATGATTCATCCCGAAACTTGGGATCCCACCTTTGATAAGGGTAGGATATTGAATTTTTTTTTTAATCGTATAAAGTACTAAATTTTCTCTAAATCTTTAGAAGGCAAAGACGAGCACAGAAAGGGACTCCTCCACATGAAAATGGCCGAAGGCGCCAAACTGCAGATGTGCTACCTGCTCCACCACCTGTGCGACATTCAACTGCGCCACCGAGTCGAATCGCTGATCGCCTTCAGTCACGACTTCGTCGGCGATCTCCAAGCTGATCAGCTGCGCCGCTACATCGAGATCAAGCAGTCGGATCTGCCCTCGGCCGTGGCCGCCAAGAAGACACGCGAGTTCCGCTGCCCGCCGCGCGAACAGATGAACTCCATACTGAGCTTCAAGAACATGGAGGACGACGATCCGGACAATCAACCCTGCGGCGAGGATCTGATCGTGAAGATGCGCGACTTTCACGACAATCTGATGAAGTTCGTGAGCTTGCACGCGCTGCAGGAGGCCGAGGAGGCCGCGGCCAACGAGGACGAGACGGAGAAGGCCGGCCCGATCAAGAAGCTCATGAATTTCATTCATCACGTGAAAGAACTGGAAGAGGATCCGAAACCGGAAGTCGAACCGGAGAAAAAGACACCCGAGGAGATATTCAGAAAAGTACTGATAGCCACGATCGTAAGCTGGGCCGAGGAGGCTCAAATCGAAACTCCCAAATTGGTTCGCGAAATGTTCAGCTTGTTGGTACGACAGTACGACACCGTGGGCGAGCTCATTCGCGCCCTCGAGAAGACCTACATCACGAACAACAAAACCAAAGTCGACGTCGCCGAGATGTGGATCGGTCTGAGTCAGATCCGAGCCCTGCTGCCCGTGCAGATGTCTCAGGAGGAGGAGGCGCTCGTCCGCGAGCGACTCTGGAAGCTCGTGAACAATCACACGTTCTTCCAGCATCCGGATCTGATACGAGTGCTGCGCATCCACGAGAACGTCATGGCCATCATGATCAATACCCTCGGCAGACGAGCCCAAGCTCAGTCGGACGCCCAGGCCCAGGCTCAGGCCGTGGAGGGAGGCGGCGAGGCACCGGCCAAGGAGAAGGACACGTCCCACGAGATGGTCGTGGCCTGCTGTCGCTTTCTCTGCTACTTCTGCCGGACGTCGCGACAGAATCAGAAGGCCATGTTCGATCACTTCGACTTCCTGCTGGAGAACAGCAATATTCTGCTGTCGAGGCCGTCGCTCAGAGGCTCCACCCCGTTGGACGTGGCTTACTCCTCGCTGATGGAAAACACCGAGCTGGCCTTGGCTCTACGCGAGCATTATTTGGAAAAGATCGCCATCTACCTGTCGCGTTGCGGTCTGCAATCCAACTCGGAACTGGTCGAGAAGGGATATCCGGATTTGGGATGGGATCCGGTCGAGGGCGAGCGTTATCTCGACTTTTTGCGATTCTGCGTCTGGGTCAACGGCGAGAGCGTCGAGGAGAACGCCAATCTGGTCATCAGGCTGTTGATCAGACGACCCGAGTGTTTGGGTCCAGCCTTGAGAGGCGAGGGAGAAGGCCTATTGAGAGCCATCATCGACGCCAATAAACTTTCGGAGAAGATCGCCGATCTGCAGAAGAACAGCGACGTCGACGGATACCTGCCGTACGAGCATCCACTGCCCGAATCGGACGAGGACGAGGATTACATCGACACCGGTGCGGCCATTCTCAACTTCTATTGCACCTTGGTAGATTTATTGGGCAGATGCGCCCCCGACTCGTCGGTGATCGAGCAGGGCAAGAACGAGTCGCTGCGAGCTCGGGCCATTCTGCGCTCCCTCGTGCCTCTGGACGATCTGCAGGGAGTGCTGTCGCTGAGATTCACCCTGCTGAATCCGGCGGCCGGCGAGGCCAGACCCAAGAGCGACACGCCCTCGGGCCTGATACCCTCGCACAAGCAGAGCATCGTCCTGTTCCTGGAGCGCGTCTACGGCATCGAGACCCAGGAGCTGTTCTTCAAGCTGCTCGAGGAGGCCTTCCTGCCGGATCTGAGGGCGGCCACGATGCTCGACAGGAACGACGGCTACGAGTCCGACATGGCCCTGGCCATGAATCGATACATCGGCAACAGCATACTGCCGCTGCTGATCAAGCACGCCAAGTTCTACAGCGAGGCGGACAATTACGCGAGTCTGCTGGACGCCACCCTGCACACGGTTTACAGGTTGAGCAAGAACAGGATGTTGACCAAGGGACAGCGCGAGTCGGTGTCGGACTTTTTGGTGGCGCTGACGAGCCAGATGCAGCCGAGCATGCTGCTGAAGCTGCTGAGAAAGTTGACCGTCGACGTCTCGGCCCTGTCGGAGTACACGACCGTCGCGTTGAGACTGCTGACCCTGCACTACGATCGCTGCGGAAAGTACTACGGCTCGACGAGCAGCCAGAGCCTCTACGGGGCCTCGAGCGACGAGGAGAAACGCCTGACCATGGTGCTGTTCAGCAACATCTTCGACTCGCTCTCGAAGATGGACTACGATCCGGAGCTGTTCGGCAAGGCGCTGCCGTGTCTCACGGCCATCGGCTGCGCCTTGCCGCCCGATTACACGCTGTCGAAGAATTACGACGACGAGTGGTACGGCACCAAGTCGGCCTCGGCGCAATCGCCCGACGGACCTTACAATCCTCAGCCGATCAATACGTCCAAGTACGTGTTCATTCGTCGGCTGTGTCTCGTTTTTGGCATCGACAACACTAAAACGTATATTTTTTTTTTTTTTTTTTCGTTCAATTGTTCACAGTCAAAATCTCACCAACGACCTGAACTCGATAGTGCAAAAGTTCTCGGAACATTATCACGACGCTTGGGCCAGCAGAAAATTGGAGAACGGCTGGACTTACGGCGAATCCTGGTCCGACGTGAACAAGACTCATCCACGACTGAAGCCGTACAACACCTTGAGCGAGATGGAGAGGGAGCGTTACAAGGATCCGGTGAGGGAGAGTTTGAAGGCCCTGCTGGCCATCGGTTGGAGCGTCGAGCACGCGGAATTGGACGTACCATCGACGAGTCGCAATTCGTTGAGACGATCGTCCAAGAGTGCCGTAAGTTTCATCGGGCTCGTTGCGAATTCAGCTTTTACTTTTGCAATTAACATATTTACCTTCCAGGGCGACGGTACGAGTCCTTACAACTACAATCCGCACCCGGTAGACATGACGAATTTGACGCTCAGCCGAGAGATGCAAAACATGGCCGAACGACTGGCCGACAACGCCCACGACATCTGGGCGAAAAAGAAGAAGGAGGAGCTGCTGACCAACGGCGGCGGTATTCATCCTCAGCTGGTACCCTACGACTTGCTCACCGACAAAGAGAAGAAGAAGGATCGCGAGAGATCCCAGGAATTCCTCAAGTACCTGCAGTACCAGGGCTACAAGCTGCACAAGCCGAATCGCGGCGGCGACCAGGAGCTGGCCGGGGCCGGGGCCGCGGTCGAGCTGCGCTTCGCCTACTCGCTCATGGAGAAGCTCATCGCCTATCTCGACAAGGCCACCATCAACATGAAGATCCTCAAGCCGTCCGACACGTTCTCGCGTCGCAACAGCTTCCGCACGCCCACCCGCGACATCAAGTTCTTCAGCAAGGTCGTGCTGCCCCTCATCGAGAAGTACTTCAGCACCCATCGCAATTACTTCATCGCCGTGGCGACCGCGACGAACAACGTCGGGGCCGCCTCGCTCAAGGAGAAGGAGATGGTCGCGGCCATGTTCTGCAAGCTCGCGAGCCTGCTGCGCTCGAGGCAGACGGCCTTCGGCGCCGACATACGCATAAGCGTGCGATGCCTCCAGGTGCTGGTCAAGAGCATCGACGCCAAGTCCTTGACCAAGAATTGCCCCGAGTTCATACGCACGTCCATGCTGACGTTCTTCAACAATACGGCCGAGGATCTGGGCCACACGATATTCTATCTGCAGGAGGGCAAGAACAGCCATCTGCGTGGTACGCACCTGAAGACGTCCGCCTCGTTGAGCTACATCAACGGCATAGTACTGCCCACTCTCACGGCCATGTTCGACCACTTGGCCGCCTGCGAATACGGGAGCGATTTGTTGCGTGAGTTTTTCTTCGTATTTTTCTTCTTTCTAATATAATGCGGGACTCAGTGTAAGATCGGACATTTAAAGTAAAGTAACCGATAATAAATTTATTTCAAGCTACTTTTAAATATTCGTTGAAAATATTTTATTTCTTTTGCACAAATTGCAAAAAATGTGAAAATGTAACCGTATACATCATTTTTAAAGCAAAAATTAACTAACAAAGGTATAAAAATTCAATTACAATTAAAGTCATCTTCCGCCGCTAGATGGCCAATACCTTCATTTGTAAATCTGCAAGTAGTAAAGCGAGAATGATTGAATAAGTCGAAGCATAGTTTATATCTCTGAATAAATGGTCTCTACCGTTATGTTCAGTAAATGAAAATTAATGTGAAAATGGAGAAAATATTGTTCCTTCGATAAATATACTTGGATGTAAATGAATTAAAATCGATGTGATAGGAATCAAATTAAAAAATGTTTAAATTAAATTTAAATTAGGCGTAAAATTTATGTTAAATGGTTCAAGAGAAAATATTTACATTTAATTCAAATCACATTAATTTTTGAAATTTTACTTCAATTTTGAATCCAAAAAATGTATATAAACTTACTAATGATTTCAGGCACAAGATTGTATGGTAGCTAATTATACAGGGGAGAATAAGAAATAAAATATATTCGAGTTACTTTTAAATTTATCTCGTAGAATTGTAATATAATAATTAAAATTCATACATAAAATAATATGTAAGAAAGTTTGAACGAATGTAAATAAATTTAATTTAATATTTCACTTCATGACACTTTGTCGAAACTTTCATATCGACTTCGTTTCGCAGTGGACGAGATTCAAGTGGCCTCGTACAAGATGCTGGCGTCTCTCTACACGCTCGGCGTCGACTCGACTCTGCCCCGCGATCGCAAATACCTCAAGACTGAAATCGAGCGCAACAAGCCGAATCTCGGCTCGTGCCTCGGCGCATTTGCCAGCTGCTTCCCGGTGGCCTTCCTCGAGCCCCAGCTCAACAAGCACAATCCCTACTCGCTCGCCAATCGCATCGCCGATCATTCCTTGGAGGCGCAGGACATCATGTCGCGCATGGAGTCGAGCATGCCCAATCTCGAGGCGATCCTCGGCGAGGTCGACCAGTTCGTCGAGTCCGACAAGACTTACGCGGACGCGCCGCACGTGGTGGACGTCATACTGCCGCTGCTCTGCGCTTACCTGCCGTTCTGGTGGGCCCAGGGGCCGGACAACGTCAACGCCCAGGACGGCAATTACATCAGCATGGTGACGAGCGAGCACATGAATCAGCTGCTGAAGAACGTGCTGAAGCTCATCAAGAAGAACATCGGTAACGAAAATGCGCCGTGGATGACGAGGATAGCCGCGTACACGCAGCAGATCATCATCAACTCCTCCGAGGAGCTGTTGAAGGATCCGTTCTTGCCGTTGGCCGAGAGGGTGAGGAAGCGCACCGACAACATGTTCCACAAGGAGGAGTCGATGAGAGGATTCTTGAAATCGTCGACCGACGACACGTCCCAAGTCGAGGCTCAGATCCAGGAAGACTGGCAGCTGCTCGTTCGCGACATTTATTCCTTCTATCCACTGCTCATCAAGTACGTGGATCTGCAGAGGAATCACTGGCTGAGAGACAACATCTCCGAAGCCGAGGATCTGTACAATCACGTCGCTGCGATATTCAATACCTGGTCAAAGTCGCAGTACTTCCTCAAAGAGGAGCAGAACTTCATCTCGGCCAACGAGATCGACAACATGGTGCTGATAATGCCAACGGCGACGAGGCGACCCGCCGCGGTTTCCGAAGGCGCCGCGCCCGTGGGCGGCGGCAAAAAGAAGAAGAAACACCGCGACAAGAAACGCGACAAGGACAAGGAGATACAGGCCTCCCTGATGGTGGCTTGTTTGAAGAGATTGCTGCCGGTGGGTCTGAATCTGTTCGCCGGCAGGGAGCAAGAGCTGGTGCAGCACTGCAAGGATCGATTCCTGAAGAAGATGTCGGAGCAGGAGATCGCCGAGTTCGCCAAGACTCAGCTGACTCTGCCGGACAAGATCGATCCGGGCGACGAGATGTCTTGGCAGCATTATTTATATTCGAAATTGGGACAGCAGAAGGAGATAATAGAGGCGGTGCCCGGAGCCAAACCGGCCCAGGTCGACGACGTGGTGGCTCGCATCACCGACATGGCTAAAGTACTTTTTGGACTTCACATGGTGAGAAACGAGCTTTTAATTCCAGTTAAAAGTACACTATGAAATAATTTATTTATTTTTTTGATGAACTCAATTGTTTAGATGCGCAAAGATTTGATTTGGTTTTTTTTTCTTTCAATTTTTGCAAAGAATTTTTAGATAGATTTTTTACTTTTAATCCTTTTAGTCACAGCAATTTTTATACAATAATTCGAAATAAGCACTCATTTCGATTACATAACGTCAATCACTTTCCTTAAACATTTTCATAAATTTTTTTTTGTAGTCTTCATCGATTCAAAATGTGTTGCATCGCATAAACACTTGTTTCGTTCAATTTTGTATTGTGGCCATGACGATTTTAAATTGGAAAAATATTTTTATTACATTTATTTCTATTGATATTCCATTTTGTTTATTTATCATAGAAACTCATGAAGATAATATTCATAAAGATCGAGATTCGTAAGTCATATGATATAATGTCGACGATAAATGTACGCTTTCTCATTGATTCGTAATACATCAAGTCAAGTCATACGAATCATTCCAAATTATTATTTTTAAATCAAAATTTTGATGTGACTTAAAGTTTTAAAAGTTATACGGCTTTGTATTTTAGAGCTTCCGATTGAGTTCATTGAAAACTTTTTAATCTTCTGAATCTTGAGCTTTACGTGCGAATTAAAAGAGTTTCTATGAAATTGCTATTTCTTATGATGATTTTTAATTACACAAAAAATATTTATTTTCGTCATGTGGTACATTATATGTCTGTTCATTTTTCTCATCATCGAGTAGATAGATCATCCACAGCAACAAAGCAAAAGCCAGTATCGCTCAGTGGTATCCATACAGCGGAAGCGAGCTGTCATCGCTTGCTTCCGGCAACTGTCCCTACATTCCTTGCCCAGGTATCTTATTATGATTTCGTTTCGTGTTTGTCACAATGTGTTTATGTTTTACGTTTTTTTTTTTTACTTTTATTTCTCGTTTTTGTGCATTTGTCGCTCATATCTCTTTTATTTTCATAACGAATTTTTAACTAAAAAATCGGTTGTGAAATTTTTTGCTTTTTTGACGGAATCGAATCTTGTGGCTCTATATGAAAGACTATAAACTAAGCAAAGACTAATATTTATATATAGCGCTTAATAATATCATTGCTTTTGGACTTTTTTTCCTAACAAAAAATTGCGTGTGGCATTTAAACAAAAAAAAATCAAAGGCTGCGAAACCCCGCCTAAGCCGCGTTGGCTGGAATCGTGTGCTGTGTGCTGCTAGAAAAAGGGTAGCCATTGCATGTCTTCGTAGTGAACATCTTTATAAACTCAAAAGGTAAATGACATCACATTGGCTATCGACCATTATTTACGGGAAAAAATTTAGCAGTATCTATGAATTAAAATTCACTTTTTATCGATGCTGCTAAATTTTTTTTATTTAGTGTTGATATTTTTATGTATTTTTTAATATCAGGTAAATATTTTTGTTAAACTAATGTTAAACGTTTTGTTGGACTTCGCTTGATAATTTTGCAATAAAACTAACGAATTTAATTTTTCTCCAGGCATCGAGCTATCAATATTTTCGTGAGAACGTATTACGAGCTCTGGCTTCAAGATGAAAATGTCGGGCAAGAAGTCATGATCGAAGATTTAACAGTGAGTTCTCGAATTCTTTTTATTTTGCCAAAATTTCACTCGTGAAAATTCAGCTTTTAAAATGTTACCTTCGTCGCAGCAAACGTTCGAGGACGCCGAGTCGAAAAAGACGGACAGCGAAGAGGTCGAGGGTAAATCCGACCCGCTGACGCAACTGGTGACGACGTTCTGCCGCGGCGCAATGACCGAGAGATCCGGGGCGCTTCAAGAGGACCCACTTTACATGAGCTACGCTCAGATCATTTCCAAGTCTTGCGGCGAGGAGGAGGAGGAGGGCGACGAGGAGGGTGGCGGCGAGGAAGAGGGCGGCGCATCGATTCACGTGAGTATATTATACAAACCGGCCACTTAATTCCGTTACGTACGCTCGATCACGTCGACGATCGATTAAATAATAATTATAAACAGGGGGTGGCTATTTCTGACGATCAATAAAATTTAGCTCTATTAATATTTTTTATAAATACCGCCCAGTACACCCGTCGGCTGTTTCGTAGACAAATGATGGTAAGACTTATGAATCAATGACTTGTAGCAAAAATGTAGTCGCACGTTCTACAAGTACTAGATGCTGCAAACATTTTTATTAGCTACTTTTATATCGCTGCTTGAAGTATATAGAAGCACAATCATGTACTACATACATAATTCACTTTAATTTTGGTCAATATAAATAATAGATTTTACAAATTATGAAAAATTTGTTCTATACAATTTTTTGTCCCATTAACGCTTGCGATCAAATGATTAGAGGCCGATGCAAAAGTTGATGGTAAGAAAATCGATGATAATTTTCTATTTCGTTTCCTCGTTTCGATCATATAATTTGATGCACGACGTTATCTAAACGTTTATATTCGAATGCGATGTTTAAAAACCACTCCAATCCATCCTCGCAGGAGCAAGAGATCGAGAAGCAAAAGCTCCTGTTCAATCAAGCCCGCTTGGCGGATCGCGGCGTCGCCGAGATGGTGCTCCTCCACATATCGGCCTGCAAGGGCATACCCAGCGAGATGGTGATGAAGACGCTGCAGCTCGGCATTTCCATACTGCGCGGCGGCAACATCGACATCCAGCGCGGCATGCTCAATCATCTCAAGGAGAAGAAGGACGTGGGCTTCTTCACGTCCATCGCCGGACTGATGAACAGCTGCAGCGTGCTGGATCTCGACGCGTTCGAGCGCAACACCAAGGCCGAGGGCCTGGGAGTGGGCGCCGACGGGGCCGCCGGCGAGAAGAACATGCACGACGCCGAGTTCACCTGCGCCCTCTTCCGATTCATTCAGTTGACTTGCGAGGGTCACAATTTAGGTGAGTCCTGTTTAGAATAACGTACATGGAAAGAAGTGGATGTAATTGAATTCATAATGCAAAATTATATCGTTTCACGTGTCCTCCTTGTACCTTACAGACTGGCAAAATTATCTGAGAACGCAGGCGGGTAACACGACCACCGTGAACGTGGTCATCTGCACGGTCGATTATCTGCTGCGGCTCCAGGAGTCCATAATGGACTTTTACTGGCACTACTCGAGCAAGGAGCTCATCGATCCGGCCGGCAAGGCCAATTTCTTCAAAGCCATCGGGGTCGCGAGTCAGGTGTTCAACACGCTGACCGAGGTCATTCAGGGCCCCTGCGCCCAGAATCAACAGGCGCTGGCCCACTCGAGGTTGTGGGACGCCGTGGGAGGCTTTCTCTTCCTGTTCTCGCACATGCAGGACAAACTGTCCAAGCACTCGAGTCAGGTGGATCTGCTGAAGGAGCTGCTGAATCTGCAGAAGGACATGATCACGATGATGCTGTCGATGTTGGAGGGTAACGTCGTCAACGGGACGATCGGAAAGCAGATGGTCGACACACTGGTCGAGTCGGCGAGCAACGTCGAGCTCATTCTCAAGTACTTCGACATGTTCCTCAAACTGAAGAGTCTGGTGTCGTCGGCCTTCGCCGATGCGGACGATGGCTGGGTGTATCCGAAAGATTTCAAAGAGAAGATGGAACAGACGAAAAATTACAGCGAGTGAGTTGAAGTTTCGTTATGAAATTGAATGGTTTTTTAAATTATAAGCAAATACTCACATCGATGTCTATTTGTTTCAGAGAGGAGATGGAGTTCTTGCTCGCCTGCTGCGAAACGAATCACGACGGCAAAATCAACTACATCGCCTTCATGGAGCGCTTCCACGAGCCCGCCAAGGAGATCGGCTTCAATCTCGCCGTACTCCTCACCAATCTGTCCGAGCACATGCCGAACGAGCCGCGCCTGGCTCGCTTCCTCGAGACGGCCGGCTCCGTCCTGAACTACTTCGAGCAGTTCCTGGGCCGCATCGAGATCCTCGGCAGCAACAAGCGCATCGAGCGCGTCTACTTCGAGATCAAGGAGTCCAACATCGAGCAGTGGGAGAAGCCGCAGATCAAGGAGTCGAAGCGCGCCTACTTTTACAACACCGTCGTGGACTCGGACGAGAAGGAGAAGCTCGAGACGTTCATCAATTTCTGCGAGGACGCCATCTTCGAGATGCAGCACGCCAGCGCCTTGATGGCCGTGGAGGAGAGCGGTGGTGGCGGCAAAGCCAAGGACACCTCGTACACCTACATGACCGACGAGGACGAGGACAAGAAGGATCCGATCAGGCGAAAGATTCAGGCCTTCAAGGACGGAATCTACTACTTCTTCTCCATATTCTCGCCGTCCAACATAAAGACCAAGATAGGCGAGCTCCATCAGATGTCGTACTTGGAAATCTGCTTGGGATTCATCAAGACGATATTCCTCGCCTTCTATTGGTCCGGTTTCGGGGTCACCAGCGTCATCGCCTACTTCTTGAATCTACTGCTGAGTCTGATGAGAGGACCCACGCTCGAGGAGCCCATCGTCGAGGCCAAGGAGGAGGACATCAGGACGTCGCGGCATCTGCCGGCACTGCCACCCACGCCGGACGAGTCCAACATGCAGGTCCAGGCTTTCGGCATGGACATAACCAAGGAGGAGGGCCAGGTGAAGCTGTCGGCGCACGAATCGCCGACCGGTGGTTCGCCGCAAGCCGGCAGTATGGAGGAGTCGGGCGAGGGCGCCAACGAGGAGGGCACCGGTGAAGAAAGGGCTCTGGACGGTGGTGACGACGCAGCTGGTCCACTGGCCGATTTACTTGGGTAAGTTTGGACTTTCATATTCGAATTCCACCTATAAATCTACCTGAAATCCATCTGGAATCCATGTAGAATCCAGCTAGATTATACTATTCCAGATAAAATGCTAACATTAATTTCCGCGTGGACTCCACGTGGATTCCAGGTGGATTTACAGCAAGTCTGATCATTTGATTGAAACGATCATGTTGGCTTCAATGAATGTAGTATTTTAAGCAAAATAATTGAAATTTCAGAGGCAAGCAAGCTCGCATGCAAGCCCTGGCTGACGCCGAGGCCGTGGCCGTGCAGCAAGCGGCCATGCTCGCGGTGGAGGCCGAATCGAAGCAGGAATCCACGGTCGAGCCGTCGGCCGCCTCGTCGATGAACCTCAGCGAGTACAGTCATCGTCTGGTCTCGTTCCTGGCCCGAAACTTTTACACGCTCAAGTACGCCGCGCTGGTGCTGGCCTTCCTCATCAATTTCATGCTTCTGTTCTACAAAGTCACCGAGGTCCACGCCGAGAAGCTCGACGAGCTGGACGACCCGACGGAGAGCGGCCTCGGCGGCGGCGGCGTCAGCAGCGCCGAGATACTCGAGGGCATAGTGAACGACATAGCGAACGGCACGGCCTTCGAGGGTTCCGGCGAGTTCGGGCTGGAATTCGAGGAGGGCGGCGAAGGCGACGGCAGCGAGGAGGAGGAGGACGTCGAGGAGTTCGTCGAGGTCTCGGACGAGTTCATCTTCATTGCCTACCTCATGAGGATCATGGCCGCCTGGCACTCGCTCATATCCTTGGCCATGCTCGTCGCTTACTACCATCTCAAAGTCCCGTTGGCCATATTCAAGCGCGAGAAGGAGATCGCCCGGACGGTCGAGTTCGACGGCCTCTACATCGTCGAGCAGCCCGGCGACTACGACTTCAAGTCCAACTGGGACAAGCTGGCGATCTCGGCCAAGACCTTCCCCGTCAATTACTGGGACAAGTTCATCAAGAAGAAGGTGCGACAGAAGTACAGCGACACCTACGACTACGAGATGATCAACAATCTGCTGGGCATGGACAAGACCTCGTCGTTCATTCAGGAGGAGGAGGGCTCGGGTCTGGTGCACTACATAATGAACATCGACTGGAGGTATCAGCTGTGGAAAGCCGGTGTCACGATAACGGACAACGTAAGAATCATTTCATTTCGCATCTAAAATCAAATAATTTTTCTGCGTCATAATAATTTTTTGACTCTTTCTTCCACAGTCCTTCCTCTACAGCTTGTTCTACTTTATTTTCTCCATCCTCGGCAACTACAACAACTTCTTCTTCGCCGCTCACTTACTTGATGTGGCGGTCGGTTTCAAGACTCTGCGCACCATCTTGCAATCCGTAACGCACAACGGCAAACAACTCGTCCTCACGGTCATGTTATTGACCATCGTCGTGTACATATACACCGTGATTGCCTTCAATTTCTTCAGGAAGTTTTACATACAAGAGGAGGACGACGAGGTGGACAAAAAGTGTCACGACATGATGACGGTACGATGAATTTTTTTTCATACACGAGGTAATCAACATTTTACTAATTATTTGATGCTCTTTCGCGCAGTGTTTCGTGTTTCACTTGTACAAGGGAGTCAGAGCCGGTGGTGGTATCGGTGACGAGATCGGCGAACCCGACGGCGACGTTTACGAAGTTTATCGAATAATGTTCGACATTACTTTCTTCTTCTTCGTCATTGTCATTTTGCTGGCTATCATTCAAGGTAATTTTCTTTTTATGATAAAAAGTAAAATCAGATATTTAATCAAATTTATCGATCCCAAGGTTTGATCATCGATGCTTTTGGTGAGCTTCGTGATCAACTCGAAAGCGTCAAGACCAACATGGAGAGCAACTGCTTCATTTGCGGACTCGGGAAGGATTATTTCGACGCGGTTCCGCACGGGTTCGATACCCACGTACAGCAGGAGCATAATCTTGCGAATTACATGTGAGCATATGAAAATGTCTAAAAAATCATAAAATAGAAGAAGATAGTTCGATAACCCGAATGAAATTGTATTTCAGGTTCTTCCTCATGCATCTGATCAATAAACCGGACACGGAGCACACGGGTCAGGAGACGTACGTGTGGAAGATGTATCAGCAAAGGTGCTGGGACTTTTTCCCCGTGGGCGACTGCTTCCGCAAGCAGAACGAGGCCGGCGAGGACGAAGCCAAGAAGAAATAAGGCCCCGACGCACGACTGTAATTATTCGGTTCAATTTTTGCTACCTTGGCTATTTTTCTGAATCTCGTCTCTGTGAGAGAAGAGGAATTGAGAAAAATTGCCGAGAAAACGAGATACAGCGTCGTTCGGAAAACAAAACTGAGTTAATTCGTTAACTTAATTTTTACAGATATAAGTCTATTGAGAAAAAAAATCATTTTTGTATATTATCAAAGCAAGAAGCTATGATACAAATATAATATATATTTTTCGCCGACGCTTTTTTTCAGTGTAAAGAACTTTTATTGATTGGACTGCTGCTTCGGTTAACTGAATAACGAGTATAAAGTTATTTTTCCATCTTTGTAAAAGTTGTAGTTATTACTCACACCGAAGCGAGTACGTGATAATTATCATGGTAAATGATGATAATGATTTAATCAAATTATAAACGGAATGTGTGTTTAACCCTCCTCCCTTTAAGCTACATACGTTATACATATTATTCTATACCTATTTTTAATTTGAATTTACGTTGTACTTATCTCTCTAGATTATTCATTATGCTATAATAATATCGTCTTAATTTTTAACGAGTTGTTTGTGCGATGGCAATGATTTATGCACAAATTATTGATTTAAATGTATTTTCAATGAGAGAGCGAGAGACGCGCTGAATAATTAGTCATCGTGTGCACGTGCCGGCGCGTCTCCAATTGTTATTATTATTATTATTATTATTATTATTATTATTATTATCACTATTATTATTATTATTATTATCACTATTATTATTATTATTATTGTCATTATTACTATTGCTATTATTATTACTACAATATTAATTTCTTTCCTTTCTTACGATTACGCCAATCAGTAAAACTATGAATTATTTGGGTTTTCACGATGCTACTAAACACGTTATTTCTGTTTCCATTCTTACAATTTTTTTAGCATTTCTTGGTGGTGTCAAACGAAATGGAACAAAATTGTATTTAATTTTTAACGATGCTGGTTATGTACTCGATATACCGATGATGGAATCGGTCCATAATGATTGTAAATAAACTTTTACTGCTATATATAAAATTTTACTGAATTTCTTACATCGTTTCTACCTAACACCTGCTTTCTTTCTTTCTTCTTTCTTTAAATAAATATCATTTTATAGGTTTTTATGTTGCTGCCGTTACAACTTTTGGCTAAATTTCGTTGGATAAAGTTGAAATTTTATTTTTCAAGTAGTAGTTACAAACTTGGCAAATTTTTATTTTGTTTTCCATTATGTGAATTGACCGAATATGTTTGTTGAAGAATTTGGGGATGTACAAGAAATCACTTTTTCACAAAAAAGTCTCCCATCCAAAGTGATTTTTTCAGTAAGTACTCTAAAGATACATCTATGAAATAAATTTTTCGAAATTAGTATTTTTCAAAGTATAAAGTTGATATAATAATTGAAAAAAATTCGGATAACTAATTTAAATCATAAATACGTCTGAATTATGCTATAAACGATAAGGCTGTTTTCAGTATCTATTATTGACAATGTTTTTTATAATACATCATCGATGAATTTTAAGAAATTAGAATGTGCCGGCCTACCTGGCTGCATGTATCAAAATTCAATGCGATTGTCGAACCAGCAGTTAGTATAAATGATCTTATTCCTCTCACCATAAACGGTATAACCATTAATCTAGTTTTGAGAGGATAGTTTCGCCATTTGATGAAGTAACTATTATACATAGAAAAGAAACTAAATAGATTGAGATAAATTATTTTGTTACATTTCAACGAGTAAATCGTCACTAGCATCACTCAAAAATTGACTGGGAATGCATACAAGAATAAGAACTGAAGATGCACTCAAGAATCCAAAAAACATTTTCGTGGCTTCTCCTTTATGTGTTTTCATCAAAATTGTGGCCTGGCCATAGAACGTTAAACTATAATAAGTAGGTATTTTTTACATGGACTAAAAAAGAAATCAGTTTTAAATAATTTTGTGAAAAATATTTTTTCTGTCAAAAAATTGATAAGTGTAGAAGTCAAATATAACCGGTTATATTTGTGCATAATTTTCAAATCGAAACGCTAACATGAATTATTTCTCCGAAGGGGATGGAAAGATCTGGAAATCTTACTTACTCATATTGAATATTTATCTTAGGGGCGTGTCTCTATTTTAACTTAACTTTCAAATAATTATATACATAAGATCAAAGCTTCATGTCAGTGTTTTAAAAAATGTAGTTTTTTTAAAAATATTCATATAATGAATTGTTGTATTCTTTTTCGTACTGTTTTAAATCTCTAATATTAATTCTCGAACAGATAGATTACCCAAGCTCCAGATGAGATGAGAGCCAAACTCGTTCCCACTAATGCCGCAAACATGGTGGGTTTAACGATGGAATTGTTATATACCCGTTAACACTGGGTAATAACTTTATTATTTAAATATTAAATATTATTTTCTGTTGTGTCTGAGTGGGGAGGGAACATGAAATAAAGTGTATAACGCTCAAGTGAGATTTACACACAAGACTTTATTACAAGAAACTAATTACTATTAAACAAGCTTACAAAATAAGTGTGGCCGATGCTCGTCGATCTGTAGGGCTGCAAACGCCGTCGGGACGTTACGGTTGCCGCTGTTGCTGGTGTGCTGCGCCGATGCTGCTTGGCCGACGGTCGCGGCTGCCTCGGTGGTGGCGGCGGCTGTTGCAGTGACAGTCGTGGCTGCTGTTGGGACGTTGCGCTGCTCGGCTGGTGGAAGCACTCACTCGAGCTTTACCATTCGCGAATACAATTAATAATTTCGATGGTCGCGGCGTATAAGTACAAGTACAAGTTAGTCGCTGTTATTGACTCGCGCTTGGTTCTCAATAAGTACAATATGTGCAATTCGCGTTGTATTACAAGTCCGTTAAATATTGCGAAGTCGCTATTACAATGATTCGATTATTCGCGCGCACAGAGCTTCGCCCTACTCGACTGTATAAAATGATCTGCCCCGAGGCCTAATTTTTATGCACGTTATATACTAATTAAATCATGGACCTTTTGGCGAGGGTACGTCTTGGGTTTTTTCCACAAATCGCAAATCTACCAGCTATTTCGTCACTTGTTGACTAAGTTTGCGCAAGACCAGGATGTGCCCAATAGTTATCTGGGGTCAAAGGTCAAACTTTTGGGAGATATGGGACTTGCGAGTGCGCGTGCGAACTTGTTTCGCCCCTTTGTACCAATTCGAATCATTCCACGAGTCTCGCCTCGCATGTGTGTGTTATGCCTTCTTTGTGTTCGACTTACTCACACACGCGAGTACACATACACGGAATATATACGCGTGCAGGGACTTGATCTAATGCGTCGGTAATGTTGCTCGCGCACGTCCGTACGTACCTTCAACCTTTGCCTTGCTCTGTGTTCGGCTGATACACATATGCGCGCGGGTTCGATCTAATGCGCCGATGTGTGTTGGCCGCTTACATTCACACACACATTCATGCGACAGCGCTTGCCTGTCTCTGTGTTCATCTTACACACATGCCTCTTTACCCGCGAGATCAGGCGTCATACGTGTTAATTTGACGGTCTTGTTTTAATTATTATATTAAAATTTTACTATACCCAACGCTGGGTTATTGAAATATAACAGAAACTAATGTTTCATACAACCTACGATCAAATAAACTTCTTTACTACGGGAAAAATAATTTTAAATAAGATCAAGAATAAACTCTTTGGCTGAGTTTAATATTAGTTTTAATGGAGCCTTCATTTTCAAACTGTGGGGCCCTTAAAATTACCTTGAAAAAAAAAACGAAATATGTATTTGAACGTGAAATTTTCCGCTCTTTTCAAATCTGAAATGAAAACATGGGGTCACCGTGCGAAAAATCAATTTTGGTTCGCTATAGTTTAGAGGTTATGTCCAAGGTCAAATTCGAGGTTACCATTGGATTCCTCGTCGAAAAATACGTTTAATATGGGGTTTTTGATTTTTTTTATGTTTATTTTGCGATAATTTCAGGAGTCACCAAATAGTTTTGCCGCCCAATTTAACATGTATTTTGCCTATATAAGGGCTAAAGAGCCAGATTTCGGGGGCCTCGTTTTCATTTATAGAGACAAATACCAAGATCCTTACCTACATGGCTTAAAACTAAATGTAATCAACTACTCTCACATAAAATTTCAAAGAGATTCATGTTACTAGAAAAAAGTTACAGCTTATCGAAATCTCGAAAAAACGCCTTTTTTCATAATGTTGACACCTTTAAACAGCTCTATCTCCGTCGTTTTTTAACCAATCTTAATTCTGCGCACGGCAATTGAAAGGTAATAAAAATACCTTTAAAATGAGACGTTGCAAAAGTAAATACGTCAATCCAGTCGCCTTCTGCATCAATTCAAAAAAAGCTAAAAAACATCAATTTTGCGATTTTTCATCCCCCTTCATTGCCCCCCCCCCCATAACCGAAGGTTGGTCTATCGAGCTCTGCATAATTTTTTTACGAAAAGTACATGTCTTGACCTAAAAAATCCGACCCTCAGAGTTAAAAAATATGCACCGGTGCCCGAGTTACAAATATTTGAATAATACGCAAAAATAGGTAAAAACGGCTATTTTTGGACCTTCGAGTGGCCCAAGTTTGGTCCCTAAGGCCCCTAGAGGGCTAAAAATTTACCTGAAGGCTATTTTCACATACCCAAATAACATACTAAATTTTGGGGCAGATCCGAGAACCCCCCGCACAAAAGTTGTACATATATGAAAAAACTGCTCATATATATATATATTTTTTTTAAAGTGTTTTTGGCCTCTTATGAGCCATTCACACTATCTTTATTATTAAAAACATACATAATACAGGTTCTACCGTGCATTTTTCTTACATAGTGAAGACCGATCGAGTCTATACAGACAGGTTACATGTATTAAAGAAATCGCATAGTTTCTCGCACGCCTCCAAATTTGGTCGGCTAATAATTGTGTCAGTTGAATACGGTGGTCTGAGACCAATTCTGCCTAGCTGTCGGAGCAACACGGCGCGCTGGGCGCTGTACAATACACAGTCCCATGCTACGTGCTCCAGGTTCTCTACATCTCCGCCACAAGCGCACTCGGGGCTACCGATGATGCCCTTGCGGTGCAATGATTCTGCCAGACTGTGGTGGTTGGATCTCATGCGATTGACAGAGACTAAGACCGACCTTGGGATTTCTTTATTATGAAACCACGGCCACCGGCCGGCATGCGTTATACACTCGAAGTACCGAGCTACCTTAGTGGAACCCTCGCGCTCTGAGCAGTCTCTCATCCCCAACCTTTAGCGTAAAAACCTGTCATCTCATTTTTGAGATCAAAGCAATTTATCGGCTATTCATAGAAAGAAATCCAGCTAACTTCATCCTCTCATGTGGGC